CGCATGCTTCTCGAATGGTAGTCCCAATTTAAATACTGTATACTCGGATATGACATTGCCACAGCTACCCAACTCAATAATAAAGCTGCATACACGTCCTGCAATGGTACATGATGATCTAAAGATATTGGTGCGCAACCACCTGTCTGTGCGGCTTGGAGGAGATAAACAGGTGCGGCGAAAAACCAACATCTTCCCGATGTCACCTCATGTCTAGATTGCTGACTCGTCTTCAGGCTTGTCGTCCTCGTCGTCTGAAGAATCATATACTGCTTCGTTATTACGTTGGGAATCATCAGCAAGCAACCCTCTGCGGGTTTGGTTTGGGCACGCAGTCTGGCGATGACCATTCTCGCCGCAGGCATAGCAACGTAGAGATCCCGTTCCTCGTGATGAACAGTGAAGAACTGGTTCCTCTTGGGGATTGCGTGTCACGTTCTCAGCTGAGGATGCGCTGTCACGAGCTGGTGGGACTGCAGGAAGGTTACTCTGGTCTTGGGATCGGTTTCGAGAGGATGAGGACCATGATGATGATCGGAATTGCTGTTCAAATGAGACTGCAAGCCGGTGTGCTTCTCCAATTGTTGTCGGATCAAACTGAGCTAGGGATGACTGGATTTGAGTTCGTAACCCGCCAATGAAACGTGAAACAAGCTGTATTTCACTGTCATGAATGTCGTTACGAGTTAGCAAGGCATAGAATTCCTCTGCGTATTCATCAACAGTTCGACTCCCCTGTTTCAGATTTTGCAAGCGTGTGAACATTGTCATGTCATAATTGTGAGGGAGAAAAGTTTCATGCAGTTTCTTTTTCAATATGTCCCATGTTTGAATTGGTGACTTATCATTCCTGGCGCGTGTAAGCTTGGTTTGACTCCACCACGAAGCAGCTTGCCCTCGGAACTTTGTTGCAACTAGTGCAACCCGACGATCTTCAGGAACATCTTTGAAATCTAAGATTTCTTCGACAGAGACGATCCAGTCCAGCAACTGATCTCCCCGTATACTCCCATGGAATTCTGGAATGTCGACTCGAAAGGAAGCCTTACAGCGGTTGCCTTGAAGTCTGTCATCTCTTCTCTGGAAATTCACAAGTTCTCGTCGTGGCTGCGGAGCAAACGGGTTATCAGCATGGGCAGGACGTTGATTTAACCCACCAATGTGTTGTGCGATTGTCTCCGTCATGATTTGTAACGAGTCTGTGATGGAATTCTGCAGGTTGATTTGAGATGTGAGGAGAGCGTCTCAAAATTCAGTCTAATCGTTGGACTGCCACTCCTCGCGCGCACCCTCTCCGGTCTCTTCCTTGTTCTGCTTTCGAGTCATGATCAAAGTTAATTACCAAGAGCGAAAGTAAATCTGATACCAACTGATACAGAAGCGGAAGCTAAAAGAGGAGCAGAGGTGCTCGGTTTTGGGTTCGCGGAACAAAAGAGGAAGACGAGTGAAAGAGGGGGTGAAAGATGGAACGATATAACTGATGATGGTGTTGTGATCGATCCTGAGAATCGATTACAACGAGTTTTGCAAGTCCTCCTTGCAGGGCCTTGAAACAAAGCTCTTGAAAATAAGCGTTTCTCTATTGAATTTCAATGTCAAAGATGAAGAACAAGACTCGATTAGGACTGCTACTTACAAGGCCTGAGATGATAAGTGCAAATAACGAAAAATATGCAAAGACTCAATCTAAACATGATTTATGTTTATCCCGTTGAAGATACACAACTGAATGGAAAAGCAACAAAACCTAGCAACACCTAGACGAATACGTGAAGCATGTTAACGTATTCGTGGCCAAGCCCAAGCCTAAGGGTGCGCTGCATCATAAAACCTTATTTTTTGCTGTAAAATGTGTAGACTAATAATATTCACATTACTATTAAATTAAAAAATATGGTAATTTTTTTTTTAAACAACAACAATAAATAAATTTTAAAAATCAGAAAATAATTAGCAAGATAATAAAAACAAATGATATGAAATGACCCAGTTTTTTTATTTAAATAATTAACACAAATTTTATATTATTTTTATCAATCGTTTTTGTCATAAAAACCTGTAACAAAAAACTTACAACAACAAAATTTATAGGTAAAACCAATAGAGCTAGTGAAAATAAAAATCTCATAATCTACGGCTACAGTCCAACTGATTACTGATTTTGTCTTTTTTTACTTAAAAAAAGTCTGAAAAATACGTATTCTCTAACAAAGTATTTGATAAAATTCTCCAAGTGTTAAAAAATATTTGGTTTATACCAAAAATGTTTAATGGCAACAAATATTTTAGTTTTCTATAAAAAAAATAATTAATGAGTACTACGTGCTATGCGGGCCATAATGCTAGGTTTATACTATTTTCGTTGCTGGTGCAGAAAGGCCCAGAAGATCAAAATATAATAATTTGAGCCCATTGCTATTTAGACTTTAGCGAGACAAAAAAAAAAAACTGAGGAACGGGTTTACCAACCCCCGCAAAGATGAGTAGGACCCGGTGATGAGATGGACCAATGATAGAGCTGCCGAGAGAGTTGGTCGACAGATGGAGTAGGCGGGGGCGAGGACGGTAGGTGAAGGATTACGACCTTTGGCTTTTTTTTTTTGGCTCACACCCACTTATATCTACCCCTCCTCCCTTCTAACACCATTTCTCAGATCAAATTCAAAACATATCCTTTTGTTTTTTGTTTGATCCAACCAAAACCAAGTATGAAAATTAACATCCGAGATTCGACCATGGTCCGGCCTGCCGCCGAGACGCCGATTACTAATCTTTGGAACTCCAACGTTGACCTTGTTATCCCCAGATTCCACACCCCCAGTGTCTACTTCTACAGACCCACCGGTGCCTCCAATTTCTTCGACCCTCAGATCATGAAGGACGCTCTCTCCAAGGCCCTCGTCCCCTTTTACCCCATGGCCGGTCGCTTGAAGAGAGACGATGATGGTCGTATCGAGATCGATTGCAACGGCGCCGGTGTTCTCTTCGTCGTTGCCGATACTCCCTCTGTCATCGATGATTTTGGTGACTTCGCTCCTACCCTCAATCTCCGCCAGCTTATTCCCGATGTTGATCACTCCGCCGGCATCCACTCTTTCCCGCTTCTCGTTTTGCAGGTCCGCTTTTTTCATTGGAACCTCTCACTCTGAGAGAAATATTTCCCAGATAGAGTTGGTTATTTAATACTAGTTGGGCAAAAGAAATAGAGTTAGTTATTTAATAATACTGGTTGGTGCTTGTGTTTTCAGTTTCTAGTTTTGTCTCTAGCTTGATTCTTGATCTAATAATATCTGTAATAAATATTCCTTGATGTATTTGTAGGTGACCTTCTTTAAATGTGGGGGAGCTTCCCTTGGGGTTGGTATGCAACACCACGCTGCAGATGGTTTCTCTGGTCTCCACTTTATCAACACATGGTCTGATATGGCCCGTGGTCTTGACCTTACCATTCCACCCTTCATTGATCGAACCCTCCTCCGCGCTCGGGACCCGCCTCAGCCTGCTTTTCATCATGTTGAATATCAGCCTGCCCCCAGTATGAGGATCCCTCTTGATCCGTCCAAATCAGGCCCTGACAATACCACCGTCTCTATTTTCAAATTATCACGCGACCAGCTTGTTGCTCTCAAGGCTAAATCCAAGGAGGATGGGAACATTGTAAGTTACAGCTCATACGAGATGTTGGCAGGCCACGTGTGGAGATCAGTGGGCAAGGCGCGCGGACTTCCAGACGACCAAGAGACCAAATTGTATATTGCAACTGATGGAAGGTCCAGACTGCACCCGCAGCTTCCCCCTGGTTACTTTGGCAATGTTATATTCACCGCGACACCATTGGCCGTTGCAGGGGATCTGCTATCAAAGCCAACATGGTATGCTGCAGGACTTATTCATGATGTTTTGGTTCGCATGGACGATAACTATCTGAGGTCTGCTCTTGACTACCTGGAGATGCAGCCTGATCTGTCAGCCCTTGTCCGCGGTGCACATACCTACAAGTGCCCAAATTTGGGAATCACAAGCTGGGTCAGATTACCCATTTATGATGCAGACTTTGGTTGGGGTCGTCCCATATTTATGGGACCTGGTGGAATTCCATACGAGGGTTTGTCGTTTGTGCTACCAAGTCCTACAAATGATGGCAGCCTATCCGTGGCCATTGCCCTCCAATCTGAACACATGAAACTGTTTGAGAAGTTTTTGTACGAGATATGAGAGAGATAAGCGGCTGAAGAAAATCCCTTGTTTTCCCCCACTTAGGAAACTCCTCCTGAGCTAAATTGGGCATTTTGCTTCTTGTCGCAGATTCATCATCCTGTCTTTTAGAGGGTACAACAAATCATAAATTGTGTTTATGGTCTGTAACATTTGGACTATGTCATATAGGAACTTTTGTTTTATGTTAATACTGATGATAAGTGTATGACACACATGCCGTGATTGTTTTTTGGTGTCTGATTGGTTATGTTGATGCTTCATCCACGATGCTGTCAGGTTTTCAGTTTTCCTGCAATAACTATGTTTCTAACTTTCTATACGCAGTCGCTGTTTTGGTTGTCCGATAGTCAATGTGGTTATATACACTCGTAAGAGTTAACTTAATACTCGTGAATTTGTGGGAGAAATCAGGGCTGCTCCCAAGACTGAAACAAAAGGTCTGATTTTATAACTTCTTGATAGAAACATCTGAAGTTTAAGTTAAATGGAATAATGTTCTTGAGAAACCAAACAGAGTACACTAGGAATCCACATTAAAAAGCGAGCAAACGAAATCAGTGATCATAAATCTATAAGGTTACTTATATTGTCTATTGATTGGTCAAAGTATAAATCATGAAGCAAGGTGAAGTAGCAAAGGGAACAATACTGCATAAACAGTGTAGACTATATATTTGTATGTGCTTTAGTGGCATGGAATTTGTTTTAATTGAAAGGACATGTGCCTATTTTTGGAACCAATATCTGGGAGAAAAGCACAGTTATCAAGTTTTGGATTGCAAGATTTGGTACCTTATATATTAGTTAAACAGTGAGAATAAATGACTGATTACATTTTGGCCTATCGCATAGCTTTTGATCTAGGCCTTGTGCTCAATAAAGTGATGATTGGGATCTGATATATCAATCGCATGTCCTCCAGTTGAACTGAGATGGTTAGCTCTGCTAAGCTTTTCAGTCTTGTGAATGTCCTCTTCCAAATGAATGTCTTCTTCAAGCATTACCACTCTAGTTGGTTCGCCATGGGGTCCTGGCACTATGACTTCTTGGACTTTGAGGTGTTCATCAAACTTGATAATCTCAGTCTTTGTAGAAGATATTCTTCTTTTCTTGAGATAGCAGAAGAGAGCAGCAGCGAGGAATGCAAGAAGAAACAAACTGCCAAGAGAGATAACAACCACAATGATAACATGATGCCCCGGTGGTGGTGGTGGAAGAACGTGAGGTGGAGGCGGTGGCTGATGGGGACGAGGATATGGTGGAGGTGGGGAATGGGGAAGAGGTGGTGGAGGAGGAGCAAAGTGGGAAGGAGGTGGCGGTGGAGGGACAATGTGGGAAGGAGGGGGCGGATGATGCGGTGGGGCTGGGAACGGAGAAGGGAGAGGATGTTGATGGGACGGTGGTGGGTAAAAGGGGAAGAAGTCAACAGAGGCAGCCATTTTGGGCGTATGTTGTTGCAAAGGTGAAGTGAGGTGTTTCATATTTGTCTAATTATGAAGCCTATTTGTAGTAGTATAAAAGGTTGGATTGGTGACGTGAGATATGATGTGCTTCTAAGCATGTACTTGCTTGACTCTCATGCTAAGCTTTGCATTTATTTGGACGTTCTTGATTGTTTCTACTCCATTCATTCCACTTGCTATTCTAATAAGTAAAATGCGTAATTGGGATGTTAAAGCGATAATGGGATTTTGCTTTTGGTCTTCATTATGTGAATCTCTTCTTCTTCTTTTTTTTCATCTTATTGATATATCTAAGTCCCACTGAATAGGGATCACACCATATACAAAACTGATTGATGCCAAAAACAAAATCACGGTGATCAGTACCTACCATCTTCTCCATAAAACCCCTTAATGATATTGACTTAGCAGGAGATGTAGGACACGATCATAAAATGAATGACAAGAGACAACTGTCTTATATTCAAAGAGAAATGAAGAAATTACATATTGAAAATTGCATATTTAAAAGACACACAGAGAGAGACATGGTGACGATCAAACGACGGCGTTTAGCTGTTTGACTCATGTTCGTCTAAAAGGCTCGACATTGTTTCTCCCCAAAGTCGTCCAATCTCAAATCGCAAATGGAGGAACTGGTGATTTCTCCGGTGGACCACGACCCTCAGGGCCAGGTTAAGCAGCAGCAAGCCGCCGGCGTTGGTATACTGCTTCAGATTATGATGCTCGTCCTTTCCTTCGTTCTCGGCCATGTCCTCCGCCGTCATCGATTCCACTATCTTCCTGAAGCCAGCGGCTCGCTTCTCATTGGTAAATCCCTTTCTCTTTTTCCCTTTGATTTCTCTCATCCCTAGCTTCTTCATCCGTCGTAATTTTCAGGTTTAATCGTCGGTGTACTTGCTAATATCTCCGATACTGAGACTAGCATTAGGTTTTGCCCTCCTCCACCAAAGCTTCCTGAGTTTTCCTTTTATCGTTTCCTCGCTTACTTACTGGTTTGTTCTTTCTGTTTCTGCCTCTGTATCAGGACGTGGTTTAATTTCCACGAGGAGTTCTTCTTCTTGTTTCTGTTGCCTCCCATCATATTATATCCTTTGCTTCATTTGATCCTTCAAATTTGCTGCTATGTATTATGTCATTTTCCTTGACATCATTCATTTGTTTGAACCCAGTCAGGTTTCAGTCTTCAACCTGTAAGTGCTTATCTTTCTTTCTTCCACTATAAGCTGACTTGAACAATAATGGCTAAGATAAAAAAATTTCTGTATGCAGAAACCATTCTTTTCTAACTTTGGAGCCATTGTTACCTTTGCTATCGTCGGAACTTTTGTCGCTTCAGTTGTTACTGGTGGTCTGGTGTAGGGATCATGACCCTCTTCTTTCTTAGTTTTTAATAGCTTCTTTGTTTGATTCAATTTTGCTTCTACCCCTTATCTGGTTTTCCCGCTTTTTTGCAGTTATCTTGGCGGCTCTATGTATCTCATGTATAAACTTCCATTTGTTGAGTGTCTTATGTTTGGTGCACTTATATCAGCTACGGACCCTGTCACTGTACTGTCTATATTCCAGGTGCTTCTGCTTTCCCTTTTACTATCAGTTTTATCCCTAAGTGCAATATATGATGATGCCACCAGAGGATACAAGTAAAACACAGCATGCCTTTCACCTAAAATGATGCCTTTTATTTGTAAAATCTGATGGCAGGATGTGGGCACCGATGTCAACTTGTATGCTTTGGTCTTTGGAGAATCAGTTTTGAATGATGCTGTGAGTGTTTATTATCTGCTGCGATATAGGGCTCTTCCTTTTAGGTATATATGCAAACGAAAAAACCCAGAACACTCACTAACTCCATCAAATGGGTTTTTGTGTTTCTTTCCGTGTATGTGGTTTGGCTCGTAGATGGCAATATCATTGTACAGGTCTGTAAATCACATGAATTTTTTCATTTTAGATACCTTTTAAAAAAAGTATTAAAGTCGATAGAAAAACTTTCGATGCAGAACAATGTCCTTAGTAAACCGCCAGTCCTCGTCTGGGGAACATTTTCTCATGGTGGTGATCAGGTTTCTTGAGACTTTTGCTGGCTCAATGTCTGCAGGTCTGTTTGCTCTTACTCCTTTTGATCCTTCGTCACAGTTTTTTAATAACAATATTTGGCTCATCAACTCATAAAAGTCCCTCCTACGAAACTAGAGGCACTATTAGTTAAACAATGAACAAAAGACTAGTAGAGTAGGTATCTTTGTGAAGATTGATACAACCAAAATAAGCAATAACTTGAACTGAAACGGTCGTATTATTTACCCCTTGAATCAGGGAATCTCTTTCTTTTAAAGTCCTTAACAATCACGTATACATCTACATATGTAAGGCCTGATTTTTCTCAATGTATATAAGACCTGTTTTCCCCCTTTCTTTTACATGAATCTGAATGTAATCGGTTATTTTCTTTTTTTTTTTTTTTTCTCCCAGAAAAATAGTTCCCATGGTGTAAGACAGTAGCTTCTAACCGAGTCCATTGACCTCATATATTGCTTAAACATACTAACAGTCTTGATATTATTCTGCAGGGGTTGGGGTTGGATTCACTTCAGCTTTAATATCCTTCCTCGATTCCTCTTTTTTTGCTTATTAGATGTCACATGGCCAAATGTATTGTAAAATCTTAACTCAGAACACCTCTTTAAGTATGCCGGATTGGATACTGAGAAGTAAGTGCCACATCTTTTCTTAACTCTTTCTATACTGTTGTATTTTTATTGTTAATACTCTCTGACCATATTGTAATGTATTTGCTTTTTCTTTTCTCTACCTCAGTCTTCAGAACTTGGAGTGTTGTCTCTTTGTGCTTTTCCCGTATTTTTCGTAAGTAGAGAAAACCACTCTCCTTCTGTCTCTTCGTATTTATGACAACACTTCTTCCCCCTAATGAATTTTGGTTATTCTGTCAGATACATGCTTGCGGAAGGTGTTGGTCTCTCCGGCATTGTGTCTATACTCTTCACAGGAATTGTAATAGCCGAGTCATTGTAGTTTTTTCATCTTAGTTGATGCTAATATCTTGAAAAGACATATTTAGGCAGCCTAATACAGTGCTACTGTAGGTTATGAAACGTTACACTTTCTCAAATCTCTCAGAAGCTTCACAGAGTTTCGTATCTTCTTTTTTTCACTTGATATCCTCGCTGGCTGAAACTTTCACGTGAGTCCAGAGCAATAACATCCATTGTTGGATAATAATTTCTACGCTTAAAGCACTGTTGGGTTGATATTGATTTGTTTCATGCTTTTCTAGGTTCATTTACATGGGATTTGATATTGCCATGGAGCAGCATAGCTGGTCCCATGTTGGGTTTATCCTTTTCTCTATTGTATCCTCATTTGCTGATCGTCAGTGATTGTATGCAGTGTTAGCCAGTGTTGTTAATCCTTGACTTTACCTTTTGCTTCTGCTTTTCATGACTGACATCAGTTGTTTATTGGCGTGGCTAGGTGACTAAATCCTTACGAATGCTTTTTTATCCTGGCTGATTGCTTCATTATCATTTATCACCATGGTTTTCCGTTCAGATTTACCTTATATGTTCTGCAATGTTTTTCTCACACAGGGCTGTCAATGTATTTGGGTGTGCATATTTGGTCAACTTATTTAGACAGGAGAACCAGAAGATACCTATGAAGCACCAAAAAGCCCTTTGGTATAGTGGTGAGATGAGTTAATAGCTTTTGTTCTTGTCTCCTGATGCCCATTTTTATATCTACACACTATTAAAACTTGTACACATATTGGCAACATCGATAGGACTTCGAGGGGCAATGGCATTTGCGCTTGCACTTCAATCACTTCATGACCTACCAGAGGGTCACGGCCAAATCATCTTTACTGCAACCACAACCATTGTTGTTGTCACGGTAAGTTTCGTATTCTCTCCATGAAAAGCATCTATGTTCATCATTTCCAGCTGTAGTATACGTAAGAATCTGCGAGATTTGGAGAATGATACATAGGCTTCGTTTCTTATCCATTGCAGTAATATTTCAGGTTTTACTAATAGGAGGTTCGACAGGTAAAATGTTGGAAGCTTTGGAAGTTGTAGGTGATGATCTTGATGACTCCATGTCTGAAGTAAACTCTCGACGATCTAATACCTTTGAAGTAAATTTGTGTATGTACTTTTTCTAACGCACCCAGATATGTGGTCAGGGCTTTGAAGAGAGTGATCATCGGTATGTCCCTCCTCCTTTTAGCATTGGAGCTTCATCTGACGAGGATACATTATCGTCAGGAAGCAGGTTCAAGATGAAGCTGAAAGAGTTTCACAAAACGTAAGAAAAAGAGAATGAATGGCTTAGTATGTTTTAAAAACTGATATTTGCATTTTTTGGGACTCACTTAACAAAACTTTGCAGCACTACATCATTCACCGCGTTGGACAAAAACTTTCTGACACCGTTCTTCACAACTAACAGTGGAGATGGAGATGGAGATGGAGAGTAGCGTGGAAAGATGTATATTTGTGGTCCAGGCCAAGTTATAACTATAGTATACACATGCAAATGCCCATGTAAGATTACCACGGGTTAATTTTACCTCTCGCAGAATGGCCGCTATAAGTTTGACAATTTCCAAGATATCTCGAATGATTATATATGTATTCATTGTGGTACAAACACTTGCATGTGAATAATCTATTACAAGAAGAAACTGAGCTCATATTTGGGGGTGAACATAAGCATGCTCTCACCAAAATATTCAAAAAGAGGAAACAGATATTTGTCCACGTCAGTGCCCAGAGCAGCTGAAGTCCTGGGAGCAATGTCCCTTCCAACTAGCGACTGTTGAGGGACTGTTGTGGTTCCGTGCATCTGCATCTGTGCGGAGCTCATTTGTATAATTCCCCCTACTGCTATCTTCTTCAGTGGTGGTTGATGAGTTAAGTTGTCACTACTTGCCTTGCGTTTACCTTGGCCCAAAGAAAAATTATTCAAGAACGCCCATGTATCTCCATGTTTGGAACTCAACAAAAAAAAAAAAAAAAGAGACCAGATTTTATACTTTGCCTGGGACAGGTAAGCTTTCCATTTGTCTTCCAGACAGAGCTATTTGGAGGAGACAGCAGTGTCTCAGATGTTTTAAGCCTCTCATATAGGCATCGACCAGCTGCCACCTATGGACAGTTAAATGTTTATATCTCCTGCCTGTTTTCCCACACGAGATTGAAAGCAAACAAGTTGTCTAATTTATGTATCAAACTAGAAAGCATACTCACCATCAACGCTCCATAAACGAGCCAAGCCCCGTGCCTCTTCGCTTCGTCCTTCTGCTTCTCAGGTTCCATTTCAGGTAAAAGAAGCAGCAAATACGGCCCTAGGTTTGGGAGAACAAGAAAGCGAACCTAGACAAAGGGATAAAGCAAGAAAAATACTTACGGACGACCAAAGGATATATCCTAGGGTAAGAGAGTACTCACTAAACTTATTTGGCTGCCACGAAAAGATTAAGGTTCAGTTGCAAGTTTTATAACTTCATTGAGGATGTCGGATCATGCTTCTATTAATTTTAAACTTATGCTTTCTTATGGGAAATTCTAGACGCACATCCTAAAGTGCTAATCTTCCTTATGATAATCAAGCATCAAGAAAAAGTACCATATTAAGCCCAAGGGCTACCATCCCTTGAATTGCCCCATAGTGTTGTGGAAGTGCCTTGGTTGGGTCCAAAAAGGTATGAAGCAGTGATCTTGTAACACGTGGCAACAAGTTGTGATAAACGTGTCCATACCTGTAAAGGTTCACTAATGTGATTGCAGGTCATCTATATATATCAGATGACAATCATTTTTGTGCTTCCTAATGTATATAGTAAGTTAACAGTAAGTATATCCCAATTCCCAAGAATGAAATATGCCAAATAAATCCTCAGTAATGACAATCAAGAAAAAGGCTCTTGATGGCACAGCAGTTATATGGCTCTACAAGATGCATGAAATCAAAAAGCAAGAATGTAACATTAACCTTTTGCACGTTGAAGCAACTGTACTGGCAGTGAAGTTTCTCAAGTGCCAGTGATTATCAGATGACCTTCTTCCTAAGCTCTTGGCAATGAGGCAAGTGATAATAGACGGCATAAATTGATGCAGCTGAACAGAATACAACAAGTTAAAAGTCAACAGAAGGAGAAGAAAAACAAAAAACAGCGTGCGCAAAAAACTTACATATGGTTCAATATGTACATGAGGGTTATGAAGGAGGCTTCTAGCAAGACGCATCAAAGCCAACAAGATTGGGTAATTATCCATGTTCCTGACAATCTGGAGAAATTGCAAGCAGAAAAGTAGTCAAAATGTGGTAGAAGGACTCTCAAGTTAGGATAAAACTCAAGACTTGAAATGTTCGATTACAAACGCAACCTCTTCAGCGATGAAAGAAGTGAAAAAGGGAACTAAAGGGTGGAGTCCAGGGTCAGTTTCCAAGCTGGAGAGTGCTTGTCTAAAGAGGGTGGAGCCAGATTGTGTCAAAGCCCACTCCGTGACTTTGTCAAAGTAAATCTGCATCGACAGCAAGCAAGGATTACAGCCTCAAAGAGCGAGGTAAAAAAAGGAGTTTGAGCATCAAACAGAGTAAAATAAACCTGAAGGTCGTTAGAGAGCACCTGTCTAGCAGCGAAGCCATCGTCCTTATATTCCGATCGTTTAAGGTCAGATATGGCTACAAATTGTGAGGGAAGAGGGATTAGAAGGAGAAGTAGGTGATGCAAATTCTTCCACAAAAGAAGAAGAAAAAAATACCTTGGAGAGGAGAATTCTGTGGAATGGAAGGTTGAATACCATCAATTGCCAACCAGTGAGAGAAAATAGATGCATCAGGAGGTGCATTTGGTAGAGGAGCTTCGATAACCTGCACAAGAGACCATAAAAGGAAGCTAATAATAAACAAACATTTCATGATCTTCTTTCTTCATGGCCAACATCAATGAAACTCACATTCTTGAGCTCGACATCTTTGTCATCCAAAAAGTAGAGATCTCTGTTCTCAGGAACTCTCTTGAACCGCATACTTTTGGAGCCGGAGGTAGGCTAACAAAAAAAAAAAAAAAAAAGTCAAAATCAGAGTCAACGGTATGAAATCAGGAGAAGAGAGGAAGAGGAAACCTCCAAATTCCTGAAATGAAGAGCAGAATCGACATCATGAGCCATTAAAGTGGTGCGACGAGCATGGCGCATGCATTTGATAGCTTCCTGCAGATAGCGGCGACAAGTTAAAAGAGGGGATTAGAGCGCAAAAGTGAAGGTGAAGTTGATGATATACCTGCATCACCTCTAGGACACGATACTCGACATCGGGAGCAAGAGCCGCTGAGACTTCCGGAGAAAGACTGGAGAGTCCAATGCTCTGAGCTATCACTTCAATGGATTCCTTCGTCACCATCCTTGCTTGCGCTCTTTCGACTCTGACTCTCGACTTTGAACGACTGAGTCGAGTCTGTCGTTCACTCTATCGGGCTTTCTCAAATGGGCCCATCAGCCCACCACTTGTCCGTATCTAGATTTCTTGGGCTTATGATACTCTTCTGGTTTTGAATTTTTAGCTCATCTACTCATGTGTTATTTTCAATCAGGCTTTGATGATCAGACCTTGTGTAATCTGTATCAATCTCTATTCACTTTCATCTTTCGCTCGTTTTTGACTCAACGTCAAGACTCGAGACTGGTAGATTATATACAAAATGGGTGTTGTTTCGGACACCAACATGTTTCAAGAACGGGCCCATGACACCCGTTGCAGATTTACCTTCTTCTTCTGTCTCTATGTAATCAATCAGCTTTCACTTGGCACCTCCTCTTGATTCAATCGACCATACAAACAATCTTGGGCATCCACGTCCTCTATTCGCCAGTTACTTTCCTTGCTCTTCGGGTCTGCCGTTGAGATTTGTAAGATCTTGTTATGGAATTTCGTTAAAGTTCGGCGGTGGCCAATGCTTATATATGTAATGCCAGCCGACTGGATTTGCTGGTACAGGAGCGCCTGGGCATCAAGAGTAATTAATGCCTCAACGCTACAGTTACATGATATTCTAAATGATAGATGAGAGGAGAATCAACAAGTACCTCATTAGCTTCATCCAACGCACTGGTGGATTCATCCAGGAGCGCCAGCTTTGGCTGAGAAAGCAATAACCGTGCAAAGGCGAGGCGCTGCTGCTCACCAAGTGAAAGAACACTGGACCACTCGTGTATCGAATCAAGACCACCAAAGCGATCCGCTATATGTCCAAGACAAACCTTCTCTAGAGTCCGCATCAGATCATCTGTTGTCGGCTTATTACACTTTTCATTTCCGTCTTCTCTAATCAGGAGAGGTGGTGAACCTAACAAAATCAACGCATTTTTTCTTAAAAGTTTGAGCCACTCGATTTGCTTTTGGGTTATATAATCTGCTTGCATTAACTTAAATGCAAGAGTTGAAAGAAACGGTGTTACCAGCCACAAATTTAAACTGAGTATCGTCTATATTACTGCCACCAGGTGTCGCCTCCTCCACAGTTGCACTCCAGGTAGGATAAAGCAATTGCTGACGCAACGATCCCAGAACCATATAAGGCCTTTGTGGAAGGAACAATACGTCTCCCGAACTTCTTTTCTCTGAATTTTCCTGAGTATTAGATTCCTCCTGTGTAAAATCATCCTCAGAATCGAGGTAGAACGTGATTTTTCCTTTCCCTGACCTCCAAAGACCAGCCATTGCTCTTAACAGCGAAGTTTTACCACTCCCACTAGGACCCATTATCTGTTAAATGGCATTTGTAAGTAACTTCCCATCTACCAGTCACATGCTTTAAACACAAGTAGTCAAAGTGAGCTAACCAGTAGATGATCCTTGTCATATATATCCACAGATAAGTTGTGAACCAATGTGGTTCCATTTGTTGGTGTTTGAAGAGTAAGCTCCTCGATCTCCAGACGCTTTTGGTTCAGTTGGGACTTGATTGAACCATTGGTGTCCAGCAGTGAAGAGTTCACCTCACTCTGATACGTTAGCTCAATCCCGTCCACAATGCCAGAGGGATCTCTGAAGATGTTGTTATCCAAAAGATCATCGAATTCACCTGTGTTGTAAGAAGTCTTGATATTGTTAGATGCGTAAAAGGAGAATCCCAACCTACAGCAAATGCAGTTTTTCATTTAGCCGTAGAAGTTGATTGCAGAAATAATGGAACTTTGTGAATAGGTTGTACTTGTACATAAGACATGATTTAGACCCAATTTTAAGCAGGACAGAGAACAGCTGTCACGATCTTTTTATCTGCCCATAACACTCTCAACTGTAGCAGACGCATTCTTTTCCGGGTATTCCCTCTTAGATATTATAAACAAAATCTTACTATTATACAGTCTATACTATTATCTAGATATTATTATCAAAATCCTACTAATATACAGTCTATACTGTTATAACACACAAGAAAATAACTCACTAAAGCGACGCATTTCAGCATCTACTCTTCGATATTATAAACAAAATCCTACTACTAAACTATCTATTTCTCACCATCAGGTAACAGAAATTATGGTGATGTGCATATTCTGCGTGCTAATGTTCTGTATCGATCTAAGGTCTCGGGTGATCTGTATGCATCAAGTAGTATATATATAGAACATTATAAGAGATTGCAGAATACATAATTAATCTACCTAGTCGATCAATGACAGCAGAAAAAGAGCTGATAGCTTGAAACTGATAAACAACGAGCGAGAAGTCTCCTAGGATATGATTGAATGCTGACACTGACTGGTTAATGACACCAAACTCAATCTTCCCGGAGAAATACATTGGGGCAACAACAGCAACTGGAAGAATCTGAATGAGGTAGCGATATCCATCGGTGAAGAATTCTAGGTTTCTGGATGCTATCAGCAATTCCTGCAGGTGAAAAAATGAATGAACTTATTGTGCAATCTGTATGGATAAGAAAGCTCGAGAATCACTGAGGGAGAAGTAATTTTACAGTTAAATTATCAAAGGCGCTTCTGAAACGTTGAAGCAGAAGCTGCATTTCATTCTGTTCGCCTCCATAGAAAGCAATCGATTCAGCATTTTCCCTCACTCGTACAAGGCTGTAACGAAAGTCAGCCTCTTTCTTCTCTTGTAGAAAGTTGAGATTCACTAGTCCCTGGACGCAAGAGGGAATGTTAATGGAACTCAACATGATTGCAACAAAGACAAAATCTGAAGCGGGACAGAATTGAAACAATCACTGCTTAACTAGGCAATGGAGAAACATTGTATCATGCTAAGGGGGGAAAAGCAAGTTTACCTTGCCAAGAAAGACACTGATGGCTGTTCCGCCAAAGGAGTAGAGCAAGAGAACGAGAAAGAGAGGAGGATAAATGGTGAAGAGGATGTTGCTAAAAGAGATGAGGTCAATGGTGGCATTGACAAGCGTCAAAGAGAAAGACAAGGCAGTTCCAGTGAAGGAACTCAAATCGTCAACAATGCGCTGATCTGGATTGTCAATCATAGACTGAGACTGGATCTTGTAAAAGGTTTGATCTTTCAGATAACGCTGCAGGTAATATTTGGTCATCCATGATCTCCATCTCAGTGATAAAGTCTCTTTTGTATAATCTCTTAGCACAAAGAACTGCAAATCCAGGAAAAGAGAACAACATCATTGGGATTGGCTTTTAAAGTTTAAAGGATCTCTCTGAGGAAAACTCACCGGAATTCCGCCGGCGAAAGCACAGAGGTAATAGAACAACTGCTTCGTGAATTGCTCTTGGTCTTTGTCTTTGAGCACAGAGAAAAGATTATCAGAGGAAATTTGAAAAGTGAGAAAATGAGAGAGAGTTGAAGAATCGTACTGGCGAGAGAATTGTAGAAATCACGGCCGAGGAAATTGAAGCCGACGCTAATGCCGGTGGTGGCGAGTGTTAGGGCGAAGACAGCTGCGAGACGAAGCCTGGCTTGGTCTTTGTCCTCGGAAAACCAATAAGGCGACGCGACTTTGTAGAATTTCTTCCACAGAGTCTTTAACTCCGATGCCTTATCCGGACGAACCGACGGTTGCGGCAACAAAGAAGAAGAGGATACGGTTCTGAAACGTGGAATTTTCTTCCGATGAAAGTTTCCGATTGATTCATGGCGAAGCGAAGAAGAAGAAGAAGAAGAGTGATCGCAGGGGAAAGAATGGCGGAGGAGAAGGTGAGGAGGACAATTGGTGAAAACGGGAGCTGTTATCATCAAAATCATCATCGGTGGTCTTCTTTATTAAACCCACATAGCCATCTCTCTAACAGATAGCAGCAACTTGAGGGAGCAACAAGAGGCATTATCACTAAAGCTCAACCATTCATTTCTTTACCAGATAACAATACAAAGAGAGAGAACATAATGACAAAGTGATAGTAGCCATTTCTCTGTTGATTGGTAGCTTTTACACAGAGATTATACAGAGAAAGAAAGATTCACATTTTAACGTTTGAATGATGAGTGAGTCGTCTCGGCTTTGGAAATCTGAGTTCCAGGAGAGATTACCCCTTTTATTTATGCAATTGTTGCCCCTTTTCTAGGCTTAAGTTCTACATAATGTTATGTTACTAGAAGTGATACTGACATCGCGCTGCTGCGACTCTTTGCTTTTCAGATTTCCATTCTTCTTCTCACAACCTGGAGTTGCCTAACAATCTTCTTCTTAACTCCCATGCCACCGCATCAATGAACTCTTCTGTATTCACATACTGATCCCTCCTAACCCTGTTCAAATTACAATGTAGGCAAAACTTATCTATCACATTTTTACTAGGTCCATCAACCACAACTTTCTCTATGGTTTTACTCTTACTTGGGTCCGTGGATCAGAAGAGCTAGATCCTTAGTCATTTTGCCAGACTCCACCGTCCCCATGCAAGCTGCTTCTAGTTTCTCAGTATAGCTCAAGAGTGCGGCATTGCTGTCCAGCTTTGCCCTGGTAACATCACATACCAAACATCTTATTAAGATGAACTCAACCAGTTTTCAGAGACGTTGAACTCAATTTAAGGCGAAGGTATGGCAGAAAACCTAACAGTTTATATTTCAATGAACCTATTATAAAGCGACAAGTAATGACAACTCTTACTACAAACAATCCCTGATAGACTAACTCATTACTTGTTGTCACTTCCAAGAAAGGGATTGGATTTTCTCCAAGAGTCGCAACAAGCATTACCATGTGTGAAAATATTCAAACATAGTGGAAATCGCTACCTGTGGGCAAGGCCTCTGGACCAAGCAAAAATGGAGGCTATGCTGTTGGTGCTTGTTTCACCACCTTTTTGGTGAACTCTGTAGTGGCGAGTAACTGTGCCATGAGCTGCTTCTGCTTCAATGGTTTTTCCATCAGGACAAACCTATAATATCTCAAATAAACATTTAGTAAGCAGGAAGATGGGCAGGAAACATGTTAGCACGATAAAGACCAAAAACTTTGGCTGAGGCCTGTGTCATTTCATACCAACACCGACGTCATCATTCCCAGAGATCCATATCCTGCAGGGGAGAGAAGAAACTTTGTTTCATAAGGAGAAATAAGATTGAAGTTTCTGTCCCCATTCAGATCATAAGTTAAAAGAAAAGAACCATGATACAAGACCAATAATGCATTTGATTAGAAGGAAGCACAAAGATTAAGGTTTCAGTCCCTCGACAGATCTCAAATTTAAGGGGGAAAACCTTGGGCTAAGAAATCGCTCTGTACATCTCCATCGTAATTCTTGCATGCCCAGACATAACCCCCCTCACTTTTCATGGCATATGCAACCATATCATCTATCAAACGATGCTCATACCTGGAGTTCATTAACTTTGTTTACAACTTTGCATGGTGTACTGTAATAGAATGTAACTAATAACATGCACATCTCACCATATCCCTGCAGCTTCATACTTGGATCTCCAATTAGCTTCATAAACTTCTTGGAATATATCCTTGAATCTGAAAACAATTTGAAAAGGTGGTGTCAGGGTAGCATGACTAGATGGTAAAATGATTTCGGTGAAACTCTAACAAGAAAAAATAAAGGCCAGTGAATTCACACCTTCCATCATATGTTTTGAGGATGGTGTTTTTTGTGGAGAGGTAAAGTGGCCACTTTTTCTGGTAAGCTGTGTACATCGAGGACTCAGCAAATGCACGAATAGACTGTTCAATAATGAAATAGGACCACCATATCAACTAGATACTCTGTAAGTGTATTTTAGGTAGTACAGACATGAAGGAGAACACTCTTTCAATAATATCTACCTCATCAGTGTTATACATGGCTAAAGCAACACCTCCACCAGTGAAATTGAAGACTTCGAATTCTGTTTTCTGAGAAGATCCACTTGGCTCTGCATATGTAAGATATGATTTTTAACGTGAATAAATTAACTTCCACAGGTAGGTAAATTCAATGACAATGATCCCCCATTATTTTTCTTCAATGAACAATTGAATTGATGGTTAGTCAGATCCAGAGCTATCAATAATTCATGTTAGTTGTTAACAAAGTTAATTTACGTGTGCCTATCCGCTCCACATATAGGTATAACTTCTCTAACAGTTTGTCATCTAAATGAGGCGGCTGTACCCGGATAGACGGTGCTCAGATTTATCTCTAACTAAAAAAGGTACATATTCACCTTTGCTTTCAGTTACGATATCAAATAATGGGAGGAGGAGATTTACCAAAAACTAGTTTCAGTTTTCCTGGTTCATTGAAAATGATATCAGTGGCTCTATACTGATCACCAAAAGCATGCCTTCCAATACAGATTGGCTTCGTCCATCCTGAGGAAAGGAAAGCAGAGGGATTTGTTTTGCCATGTTACAAGTACATAAAATGGCTAACTCATACAAAAGAGCAGCCATTGACAAACCTGGAACAATACGAGGGATGTTTCTGCAAATGATAGGCTCCCTGAAAACTGTGCCTGCAAAAATAACAACATGACTTAGAGCTCAGTAAATTGAAGAACGAACTGCCCCGTTTTAGGAGAAAAAACTGACCGTTTAAAATGTTCCTTATTGTTCCATTAGGACTCCTCCACATTTTCTTTAAGCCGAACTCCCTAACACGAGCTTCATCTGTTGTCGAAAGCAAAAACTGTTGCTAGTAAGTAAAAGAAGCAAATTTTTAAATTAAAATTTGCAAAGGTTCAAGGATATACATACCCGGAGTAATAGTCGCACACTTAATAGCCACATTATACCTTCACATGAGAAAAGAAAAAAAGACAACGATAAGTGGTGCGACTTCCAAACTTGCCGAGCTAAAACCATAAGGCAGAGACAATAGTCTGAAACCATAGCCATAAACAAGCTTAGACACAGGAACAACCTCAACACTAGAACTAGAAAATAAGAAGAAAGCATGGAGAATATGATATTAAGTATAAATGTAAAGCAGACATACTTTAAAGTAGCTTCAGCACTCTCTATAGTAACCTTATCGTCAGTGAAATCGCGGTTAGGCAGTCCAAGATCAAAGTATTTGATATCCAACTCCACGAAAGGGAAAATAAGCTGTAAAATTCTCAGAGGTTAGTTACAAAACGATTTGAATCTGTATTCTTAAAGATATATAAAAAAAAAAAAAGTTTAGATTTTTACCTTGTCTTTGATGAATTTCCAGATAACTCGAGTCATTTCGTCTCCTGAATGTGCACAGAGAATAAATAAAGATTCAAGTTTCTGAATTTCTTTCATAAAACTAACACACACTCGATACTAAACAATCCGGAACAGAGCCGATCACATATACTCCAATCTAAGCAAATCAATCAATCAGATTAACGAGAAATCCATAATCGCGATCATAGATTTGAGCTAATTGAATGTTCGAACACTTACCATCCATTTCAACAACGGGATTGATCACCTTGATCTTCTCGAATTCCATCTTTGCCCGCAGAGGTTATGATCGACGAGTGAAATTGAATTAGTGAAACGATCACCTCTGCTCCGCCATGAAAGACGATAAAATAACAGCTCTCTCTATGTTGGGCTACACTCTTCCAAAAGCCCAAATAATTAAGCCCAATTCTATATATGGGCCTGATTCTGCAGTTTTTAGTATAGTATTGATCTTACTCGCAGCGATTAAATTTTAATAGTAGACAGCTTTAACAGTAATCATCAAAATCTGACAATTGAAGAAGATCTGCTTTGGTTAATTGAATAATTAATCAACCTCTCAAGTGAATAACAATCACGAGGTGGTCCTGTTGAATTAGTATATTAAAAAGAGTAATGAGTGTGACCACTTTAACAAGGGTAAAAACGAGATTTAATGCATGGAGAAAAGCAAAAGGCAACGCAATGTTTTTGGACAGTGTCATTGTTCTGCTATAATTGAGATGCGTGAAAAACATGAAAGCAAGAATCTCTAGAGACACAGGGATTCGAACTTGTATTATTTAAAGGCTTTTCTTTTTTTCCTTGGATCAGTTTGTTTAGCACAAACTAAAATGGGATGAAAAAAGATGATTTGGAAACCGACATGTAGGGAATCAGATGCTACTTTTTCTGACCAGGACTCTTCTTCTTCTCTTTTAGAAGAATTGTGATTGATGTTGATGGTGAAGATGATGTATGTATAATGTATCGTATGTATTATCATGATTCCCCCATAGAGTCCCGCCTTTACCAATTTCATGGATATACACGTTACTACTATTCATTTAATAATGTCACAATTGTGTTACGTCTAATTAATTAATGTTTATTTGCTACTCTAGATATCAATTCTATAAGCTTAAAAAATAATTTAGAAACTGCGTAATTGATACATGTGAAATGAAAATATAAAGGGTTGATAAGATGCTTAGATCTTAATAGAGCTTTATTCGTTTCCCCTTAGATCGTATCAAAGGTTGCATGTCTTTAGTTAGGCTTGCATGTTAGCTTCCTCGTTGTCTTTGTTAATTAATTAATCCACAGTCCTTTTCCATATGCAAACTATCTATATATCATTCATATATATATTCACATTAGTTGCTTGTTCATATAGACGACTCGATTTCTGACCAAGAAAAAAAAGTAGTGAAACAATTGGGGCATGACAATTGATATCGTATAAGTTTTTTTTTTTTTTGATATCGTATATATAACTGTTAAAGCATCTTTAGCCAAAATATCTTTCAGTTTCTCTCCTTTGTTTCTCTCTCTCTCCCTAAGTTATTGGTGACCACATCTTAAAGCTTACGTAAAATGTTATTGTCATTTTTTTTCTCACGGAAAAGGAAGAGTTACTTACTTGAAGTTTGAATATTATACTTTATACGGAAAATATAACATTATATTCTATTTATGGAAGAGTTTATGTTGCAACTTGTGGATTAATAATCCTTGCATAAACCGTTTGATTACTTCATTCAGTTAAATTCCGTTTACAATGTTCTTCGTATACATGTGAATTATATACAGAGAATATTGGGGAAATAGACACTTTTTGGCAAATATTTGAGAAATAAACGGAATATATATATAACAAATAGGAAACAAGACAAAACATGTAAATGAGACATCTAATATATGTACATGAAAGTTTTTTGTACCTTTAGGGTTTCATGCTTCAAGTACCATTTCGTTAGTTGTTGACTCGATTATGCGAGAGGAAGTGTTGGACCTTCGCGTCCACGTCTAGTTCGTTTGTAAATCTTTTCTTTTAAATAATAATAGTTGGGATATTTTTCCTGGTAATTCACCAGAAATATATATATGTACATGAGAGTTTTTTAATTTATCTTTTGGATCGAGGCCGAGAGTCGAGGCAAAAGAGATTTGACCGGGAGTTAGTAAAATTGAAGGGCCGAGAGAAAGAGAGTCAAAGATTGTGTGGGAGTAATGATGTAAAAGAGGCGAACAACGTCTTTAATCCATATGTAAAAGGGACTAAAGAAGCCTCCCAACACTAAAGCCAAAGTCGACTTGGATGCCTCCTGCTTTTTCATTCCCCCATTTTTCTATTATATATGTAAATTCAATTTCTTATTATTTCTTATTATAACAATATAACAAACTGTCAAACCAAAAAAAGAAAAAGACGAGTGTTTAGGTGTCGCCAGGTAGATTTGGTTTGAGAAGAAGAGATGGGTCCCTAAACTGTTGAATCATAAAAGCCTTCATTTTTGGGTTAAAGTAACTTAACTATATTTCAAAAATCCATCAATCATGACCCACGACGTTAAGGTCTCACCGGAATTATATAAGCGTATACATACATATGTGAGAATTTGTGAAATGGGGCCTTCTTGCTAAGCTTTTTCCGTCTCTCCTACTAGGGTTTTCACACTTGCAGAATCTTCAAAAGCCAGAGTTCAGTTTTTGTTTAAAATATATATGTTGGTTCAAAAATATTTGTGATGAGTATCATGACAAACACTGACCAAAAAGCAACCCAAAGTAAGACAAAATATTAATCTCAGAAGATGCCAATCCCATGGCATACTTTTACACATTCCCATATCTTATCTCCTACAGTGTCTCCTCTTTTTAATTATATATAGTTTCATTCATACGTAGTACGAACACCCTACTCACTATAATCTCTCTCGTCTCTTTCTCTCTCGTTTTCTACCACATACACTTTTGAATGGCGCCCATGACTTTGCCTCCAGGATTCAGGTTTCATCCCACTGATGAAGAGCTGGTGGCTTACTATCTGGATAGGAAGGTCAACGGCCGAGCCATTGAGCTCGAGATCATCCCAGAAGTTGACCTCTATAAATGCGAGCCATGGGACTTGCCTGGTACGTTCCAACTCTTTTTTCTCTCTCTCTCGCTCCAAATATATATGGTTCAGATATTTAATGACAATTTGACGTTATAGATTATATATATATATATATATTTCTTAGCAAAAAAAAAAAAAAGATTACATATATTGGACATGATGCATTCATACATATATGTATGATATTGGAGGTTTTTTGAATTATTTAATTGGATAATACGCGGAACAGAAAAGTCATTTTTGCCGGGGAACGACATGGAATGGTACTTTTATAGCACAAGGGATAAGAAGTATCCAAATGGGTCGAGGACAAACCGTGCGACCCGAGCGGGGTTACTGGAAGGCCACAGGGAAAGATCGTATAGTAGAATCGAAGAAGATGAAGATGGGAATGAAGAAGACACTGGTTTACTATAGAGGAAGGGCTCCTCATGGCCTTCGTACTAATTGGGTTATGCATGAATATCGTCTCACGCACGCTCCTTCCTCCTCCTTGAAGGTAAATTATTTCCCATTGACGAGCTTAATCTTAGTAAGATATATATGTACATCTATTCGTTTTTTCTGATAATAATAATAGTATAATAATGTTCGAAAACAGGAGTCGTATGCATTGTGCCGAGTGTTTAAAAAGAACATACAAATTCCAAAGAGAAAAGGGGAAGAAGAAGAAGCAGAAGAAGAGAGCACTAGTGTAGGAAAAGAGGAAGAGGAAAAGGAGAAGAAGTGGAGAAAATGTGATGGTAATTAGTATTGAAGACGAGAGCTTGAAAAGAGCATCCGCGGAGACATCTTCATCAGAGCTAACTCAAGGGATCCTTTTAGACGAAGCAAACAGCTCATCCATATTTGCTCTTCATTTCTCATCTTCTCTTCTGGACGATCATGATCATCTTTTCTCAAACTATTCTCATCAGCTTCCATATCATCCTCCTCTTCAACTCCAAGATTTCCCTCAACTTTCTATGAACGAAGCAGAGATTATGTCAATCCAACAAGACTTTCAATGCAGAGACTCTATGAACGGGACACTTGACGAAATCTTTTCTTCTTCCGCCACTTTCCCCGCTTCCCTTTGATAAATCCATACTTATCATCCATTTCTTATTCTCAACTTATTTAATTATATTCGGCTACTTCATATATAGTTTTTTTTTTCTTTTTATTTTGCTTATGAATTGGTTTGACTGATGACAAAGGGTGGGGATTTGTGGAGTTATTTTTTCTACCACAAAAAGAAATTGCATTATTCTATTTTCATTTTTATCTAAGGTTGTGCGGTACTTACTAGTTACTACTTAGAGTTGGTTGGTTTTGTCATATATATAGGAGGGACAGCGGAAGTAACACTTATGTAATCGACATTACTTATTGGTTTGCATATCTGTAGTCCAGTGTTTAGGACTTTCAATCTAGCAAGGCAAGCGAATTTGAAAAACTTTTCGGATTATATATGTGCGAGGATCAATATCTTATTAAATTTCATATATATGTACACTATATGTATTACGAATATGAAACAAAAGTCTTAAAATCTGTACAAGAAAAAATTCACAAAAAAAAAAATCTGAAAACAAAGAAGAAAGCAAAATCGAGAAAAAAATCACTATAAACAGATTGAACAGGATAAAATCTTATAATAAAGATATGAGAATTACAAGACGATGTTTAAAGTCATCTCCAGTTTAATTATGATACTAGTTTGCGATTGGTTTGGAAGATACACACAACAATACAACATTGTCATGAAGAAATTGACAAAGGTTCTAAAAACAAAAGTAGAAATATTGTAATTTAATTTAACCAAGTGGTAGTATTCTAGTAGTTTACTTAAGAAGGAGTCGTCATTTTGGTTAAAGTCATATATTGATACTTCTCAGAAATTATTTAATCACTCCCATTACACTTAAACAATAATATTATAAATGGAGCTTAAAAATATATATATGTTGTGGTTTCAAATCCAAACATATAATAAAATTGATAATTTGTTCAACTGAAATTCAACATAATATATGCATAAAATTGCAATAAACATACCAAATTCACTAAAAGTTGTATTCACCAATTAACACGGGTCATAATTAAATCCCATCTTGTAACCGATATTTGAAGTGAAAACTATCCCAAATCAAGAAATTTGTCAAACTTAAAACAAAATTTACGATGCCAAAGGCGATAGTGGGCTTCAAGTCAACAAAATAGATTAAAGCCCATTATAAAGCCCTACAAATTCATTTGACGTCAATACTGGAATAATAATACCGGTTCTTTCTGTTGACGACGACGACGACGAATCTTCGCTTCCTCTTCCTCTCCTCCTTCTTCGTCTTCTTCCTCTTCATTTTAATTTCTCTTCCCAAACTCTCGCTGTCCGATTCACCCTTTTCCTCCGATCTCGCTCTTCCTAGATTCCGTAATAACCCCCACAAGGCTTGGCTTAGTAATCGTCGTCCATGAGTTCCAATACGGCGTCGTCCAGCGCGGGGGCAGCCGGATCGGGAGATTCTTCCGCCGCCAGGAAGAATTCGAAGCGACCCAAGTGTATTTATTCCTCCTACCTTCTCGATCTTCTTCCATTTATTCATTGTGCCTTATCGTTGACTCTTGTGTCTTATTCGAATTGGATCAAATCTCTCCCTGGCCTCGCTCGTTTTAATCGTATACGTTGATCGTTTATTGTGATCGCTGTTTAATTTTAAATAACGATCCGTGAAAGAGACATTTTTCAATCGCAATTTGTTACCAACTTTGGATTAAGCAACCATCGTCAAAGCTATGGCTAAAAGGTGTGATTTTGTTGGCAAATATCTTTTGCAGATTCGAAGTTCACACAGCAGGAGCTTCCAGCTTGCAAGCCAATTCTCACCCCTGGTTGGGTTAGATTTCTTTGTAATCTCTATTGATGTTCTGATTTCTGTGGAAGCGGCAACTAAAGCTCCTTTTTTTTACATGTTTCTACAGGTCATTTCGACATTTTTGATAGTCAGTGTTATCTTTATTCCCCTTGGAGTTATCTCTCTTTTCGCTTCCCAGGATGTAAGTGTGACTAACGCATTGCTGCTACTGCTACTCATCAGATTCTCTTCCATATCTCACGTGTTTCATCTCCGGGATGTTTAGGTTGTGGAGATCGTTGATCGGTATGATACTGAATGCATTCCGGAACCTTCTAGGACTAACAAGATTGCATATATTCAAGGAGATGGAGATAAAGTTTGTACCCGGGATCTTAAAGTGAGTTCCTTATGCCGCCATGTTTATTTTGTTCTTTGAGATTTGATAGATTTTTGCATTTGTTGTTTACTGTCTCTTTGCTCCACTGGCATTCTTAGGTGACAAAGCGTATGAAACAGCCTGTCTATGTTTATTACCAGCTTGAGAACTTCTACCAGAATCACCGAAGGTATATAACACCTGTTAGCAACTATGCCGTAGCATGATATAATTTTCGCATTGGTTTGGGACTAAGTGTTAGACCTATAATGGAAGATGTGGGTTCTCATGTGTATATCTAACTTAGATTAGTCAAGAATTTTGTAGCTCTAATGCATCGATGGTGTCGTTGAAACAGGTATGTAAAAAGCCGAAGTGATTCACAGTTGAGAAGTCCAAAAGACGAGAATCAAATAAGCGCATGCAAGCCTGAGGATGATGTTGGTGGGCAGCCGATTGTGCCTTGTGGTCTAATTGCTTGGAGTCTTTTTAATGACACATACGCCTTATCAAGAAACAATGTAAGCCTAGCTGTAAACAAAAAAGGCATTGCATGGAAGAGCGACAAGGAACACAAGTTTGGGAACAAGGTCTTTCCCAAGAATTTTCAAAAGGGGAATATCACAGGTGGTGCTACTTTAAATCCAAGAATACCGGTAAACCATTAAATACTGGAGATCAATTCATTTTGCCATTGATATCACTTGATGCTGCTTAGCAAATTGACCTCTGACATCTTTCTTCCTCTTTTCATGTGTGCAGCTTAGTGAACAAGAAGATCTCATTGTGTGGATGAGAACCGCAGCATTGCCAACATTTAGAAAACTTTACGGAAAGATAGAGTCTGACCTCGAGATGGGTGACACCATACACGTTACGCTGAACAACAACTACAACACTTACAGTTTCAATGGGAAGAAGAAGCTTGTTTTGTCAACCACTAGTTGGCTGGGTGGGAAGAATGATTTCCTCGGCATTGCTTACCTGACAGTTGGCGGGATCTGTTTCTTTTTGGCCCTTGCATTTACCATCATGTACCTTGTGAAACCCAGGTACGCACATCCTTCAAATGTAGTTGTTGTCGTGATGGTATCCTTCTATGCAAGACTTGAATTTCTGCTAAACCCTGGTTGTTCTGGTTGTTGGACCGTCTTACATATACCGATAATAATAATAAAGTATTCTTGTGCATACAGCCGCAGTGTGTTATGCTAAGTAACAAATGTGTACTTTGTTTCAGGCGACTTGGAGATCCGTCCTACTTGTCATGGAATAGAAATCCCGGAGGTCGGTAACAAGCTTGGAGAGGGGAAGAGAGAGAGAGTTCTAATCTGCGTGTGTAAATCTTATCTATCCATGTATACATACAATGTAATCCTTGCTTGCAAAATGGTTTCTTCGGTGAGAGCTTAAACTCCACATAATACTTTGTTGTTGTTCCAAACCAGTTAAATATATTACTTTTGTCCCCAAATCTTCCTTTATAAGTTTTCTATGTTTAACCATACATAGAGTTGTTACAAACTACGGGCTAAAAATTTGAACTAACAGAAGCCAAACTTCCGAGCGCTCAAAGCACCCGAAGCAGAAGATTGGAGAGATATTGGCCTTGAGGGTAAGATGGGTCGAGTGGGTGGTCAGACGCAGCTCCTGCCTCCCTCACCACTGTGATCTTCCTTCCCGCCATTGCTGCAGCGCTCTGAAGAATCCCTACGAACTTCCCACTCTGTGTCATAGCCCCTGAACATGAGCATGTCATCATAAGACCGCCACTCGTTGTCAATCGCATTGCCAACGAGTTGAGATTTCTGTACATTCCTGCTGCGTTGTGCAAAACCTAGCATCCACATTGATGCAATCTCATTTATTTAACAACAAACTATGACATCCACTATATTTTTAAGATACGAAAGAAAGATACTCTAGGCCACCTTTTTCCGCGGAGCTAGCTTAGGAGGGTCTAGGATCACGATGTCCCATGTCTCTTCTCTTGACAGAGCACCCTTCATGAATTCTGTTGAATCTTGTTTAAAGAAAACAACCTTCTCTGGATCCATATTGTTGAGGATGACATTCTCTCTGGCGAGCTCCAAAGCAGGTAAAGATGAATCAATTCCTGATAGTCTTTTGATCAGACGATTCACAAGACAATGCATAAGGTGGATCAGGAATAGGAGAGAGATAAAATGTACCGATAACACTGGTAGCACCTCCTCTGGCTGCATTTAGTGCAAATCCACCACTATAGCAGCAAAGATCAAGAACTCTTTTACCAGCAGAAATGGTTGATATGAAGTGACGATTTTCGCGCTGATCTGTGTAGAACCCTGTCTTCTGTCCCTCTAGCGAAATTGCGTAGGAGATACCATTTTCCACAACCTGCCATGAGAAAGATCACTCAGCTCTCACCCCTCTAATGTTTGTTGCCATATTCATGAAGATATGTGAAGAAGAGAGAAAGACCTGATTAAGGCACCACCCACCGTACCATTGATCTCTGTGGGAGAGTAGATGATTGTGTTTGTTTCAGACTTGAGATATCAAATCCATCTTCTTTAAGAACATCAAGAGACGGTCTCCAGTTTATATGATTAATTCCGTCAATTGATCTTAAGCAACTCTCTACTTCAATCCTGTACTTTTCAAGCCAAGCAGCAGACGATGCTACCACAGCTATATCTCCAAACACATCCACAATCAATCCAGACAATCTGAAGCAGAGCAATAAGACAAGACCAGAGATGATGTAAGAAAATGAGGAAGAAAAAAAAAAGTAACGAGATCAGTCAGTGAAATACCTATCTCCTTCACTGTTGACAAGACGATAAGCATTAGTATTAGCAGAGGGAAGTGCCAAACTCTTTCGCAACTGAAGTGCTTCAGAGATTCTAGTTTGGAGAAGCTTCTCAATGTTCAATGCACAAGAAGGATCTCTACCACAAGCCAAGAAGATCCATCAATCAAAGATACAATTTTGAAAAAAGAATCAAACAAAGAATTTTAGAAATGGAAACCTGGAGGATTCGTGTTGAAGCTGCATAAGGCGAACACAGAACATAGAAACAGAGTTATACAAACCCCAACCAATGGGAGTCTCAGTGCCATCAGCGACAATGACAACATCTCCGGTCTGAGGAGGAGGTTTTCCAATGATCCTGTCTACAGCTCCACTGTACACCATTGGACTTCCGTCTTTGAAGAGCTGTGTCTTGCCCTTTTTAAGAACCACTTTAGCAACACCTGAATTTTTTCAATTCTCAAGTAAATAGAGAGATAGTTACACGCAGAAACTGAAGAGACAGAGAGATATTGACCTTGAGGGCGAGAAGAAGCGATTTGGGAAGAAGAGAAAAAGAGAGAGTGACGGAGGCGGCATGGAAGCTGGAGCACACCGAGCATCACCATCGTCGCGCATTTCTTGGCTACAGCGCTTTGGGTGGATAGCACATAAAACCCGCTAATGGGCCATGATATCTTTTATTGGGCTCACTTTTCTCTACTTTTAGCCCATACTTTAGGTCCACAAATTCACTTCCAAAAACATCATCACAAACCTAAGAGTTTTTTTTAGCTCTGTAAATCGATAAAAGGTATGGTGGGATGATAAAAGTAGGAGACAAAGTGTGTTTATGTAGCCTACTCTAAGCTACAAATGTTTAGTTTAAGCATAGTTTTATTGTGTCTGATGCAAGGAAACTAAAGGATGTTGCCTCCATCATTTGAGTAGTCATCAAGCTGTAATTGAATGAGTAATAAGATATATATACTAGAGTTCTTGGATAGAGATGTTTATGAAAAGAAAACATGATATTTCTTAGAGTAGATTTAATTAATTATTCGAATTACCAAAACAGAGAGACAAGCTAAAGCAATATCAAAAGTTTGAATTCAAAAACAAAACTAGAAAAAGAGAAACATAGGTGATGAAAATTCATGAAACTAACACATAATGAAAAAGCCCTAAAAAGATAGAATCATTGTCGCTTCCTCAATGCATCCACGATGAGTTTGGTTGCTTCAGCCACGAACTGAGCCTGTTCCAAATACACTGTGAACTGGGTTTCTCTAACTTTCGTCAACTTCACCTCCAACTCTCTTCTCTTCTCTATATCTACTTCCGTATCCCAGATTTGAGACAAAGTAAGTTCGTCTAATCCACAACGATAGCCTGTATCTGTCTTCATGAGGGAGGCCACTTCTTTACCTAACCGAGGCTTTCTCTTTGTTTCAGAGTTATCTTGGCCCATCTCCTCAAACGGACGCTTCACAAGAACGTTTTGTTTCACATCAGGAACCTCTGTTTTAGGCTCTGGTGGTGAACCGGAACCAGCCTTGTTCCGACAAGTTTCCGAGACTGTTTCCTTCGGATTCACTGCAAGAGCCTGAGACGTATCTTTTGGAGACTTTGAAGCTGAAACGGAACCAGCCTTGTTTTGACAACTATCTGAACCGGTTTTCTTCGGAATCATCTCTGGTTTTGAATCCATCTTCAGAGAAACAGGCTGAGACGTAATCTTAGCGCCTTCATCATCACTACTGGACTCTTCTTCTGAACCAGAAGAGTCCTCGTCCGACTCTTTTGAAAGACCCTTGTTCTGAAAACTTTCAGAGCCGGTTTTATCTGTGTTCAACTCTTTTGAGCTAGATTGCACCTCACCCGACTCTTCAGAGCTAGTCGAGTCTTCACTAGTCTCACTTTCAGTGTCAGCGACTATGAGTTTCTCTTCTGGTTTATGCTCGCCTCTCATCGCCTTAGAAGAGAACACAGTTCGCTTCATTTCTTGTTCTCGTTCGGCTATTAGGTTTAGCGGGTACTAGTGTTTCTTAAATAGCTTATGCCTCAAGAGTCCATATGTAGTATGTACTAGGGTTTCTTAGATATAGGTAGATTTCATTTTCTTAATATGATGATAAATATCACGAAACAAATCTTTTTACATAATGTATAATAGGGTTTTTGGAAATAGATAAATTTGAAATATAAAAATGGAAGATTTGAACGTGAAGATCCTTAGAATACTGTAGATATTAAGTAAAGATATTATGTGAACATAGAAAACTTCATATATTGTTCTCTCTTGCCTATTAGGTTTAATTTAACTAGCTTCTGCCTCAATTCACCAAAAAAAAAAACTAGCTTCTGCCTCAAGATATACTAATTTTTCTTAGAAATAGATTAATATAGTTTTCTTAAAATGATGATAAGTATCGCCAAAATGGAAGATTTTTTTAGATTTGATGTATTTTCCATTTTTGTTAAGATTACTTTTTTTACTTTGGGTTAAAACTAAGGGAAAATTCCCAAAAAAAACTCCAACTATTTAATACTCCCTCCGTATTTTAATAATTGTCGTTTTAGAATTTTTATTTTTTTAAATTGGATGTCGTTTTCAAATTTCTATGCAAAATTTATTACTTTTTAATGTTTTATGACATCATAAAACATTAAAAAGTAAGAAATTTTGCATTGAAATTTGAAAACGACATCTAATTTTTTTAAAAATAAAATCCTAAAACGACACTTATTAAAATACGGAGGGAGTATTTGCCAGAAAAAAACCTGAACTTTTTTCGATGTCGGAAAAAACCCCCAACTAATTTACCGCTGACAAAAAAAACACGAACTATTTTGTTTTTCCAATTTCCTCTCGTCTCTGTTACAGACGTTAATGCCGTCGTTGACGCCGTTACTATTTTTTGGGAAAATTCTTGAAAAAAACCCAAGTTATTTAAGTTTGCCAGAAAACTACCCGAATTATTTGTTCGTTGCCAGAAAAATACATAGATCAACATTTTTCTTTTCTTTTTGTCTTCCATCAACAATGTAAGATGGTGAGAGCTAATAACTTTTATGTGTTCTCTTGAACCTCATAAAAGTTTTCAGTTTTCACTATTACTTAAGACAATTAAATTTAAGAACAAAAATATACAAATAGATTAGTCGATTTTCAAATTTCTCAATTAGATTTGTTTTTGGATCTATTCAGACTTTACAAATTTTGGGACATCATCAACAATGGAACTCTAAATTTCATAAGAGCCCCAAAAACCTTGGTAGATCTTCAAAAATTCTCTACATAAATCGCAAAAAAAAAAACTCCAATCAAGCAAAATCCACCAAAATTGAAGGTAAAGCTAGCTTAATCAAACCTACTCAACGCTAAAAAAACGACTAATCTAATTGTGTTTTTTTTTGTTTTAGTTAAAAAGTTGTGGAATCACGTAATTGTGAGTTTTGTTCTAATTGGAAAATTAAAAAATCGATTAATTTAATAGTAGTGAGAATTTGTATGAGGTTCAAGAGAACACATTAAGTTATGAGGTCTAACCACCTTACATTGTTAATGAAATAAAAGAAAAAGAGAAAAATGTTGATCTGTGTATTTTTCTGGCAACAAAAAAATAATTCAGGTATTTTGCTGGCAAAATTAAATAACTTAAGTTTTTTTAAGGAATTTTTCTAAAAATAGTAACGGCGTCAACGACGGCGTTAACGGCCGTAACGGAGACGAGAGGAAATTGGAAGAAAAAAATAGTTCGTGTTTTTTTTGTCAGCGGTAAATTAGTTGGGGTTTTTTTCCGGCATCGAAAAAAGTTCAGGTTTTTTTCTGGCAAATATTAAATAGTTGGGGTTTTTTTTGGGAGTTTTTTGGAGAAAATAAAACACAGGAAAACTATTTTTCTTAACAAGAATAGTTTTCCTGTGTTTTATTTTCTCCAGATTTCAAGAGTTATATAAGTAACAGCTTTGTTGAAAACAACAGTCTCTTCTCTTGAATACAACGCATATCATATGTAGTCATCCCTCACTCAACGAAACAGACACAAAATGAGACCTGTAGCTGTAATAAGATTAACCAAATGTGATTCTCAACCAAAACTAATCCCATGACCCATATTTTCTATCGCCTTCTGCTCCCTCGGTAATCTTCCTCGCCCTCTTTATCCTTCAATAGACCCAAGAAGGCCAGAAAACCAAAGAAGAAGAACCCACCTGACCAGTTGCCTCCACCACCTCCTCCACCACCTCCATCTCCATCATCTCGCGGTGGGAACCCGTCTCCTCCATCGTCTAGGCTTGGTGATTTCTCCTTAGCTGAAAACCAACACACCAGGAGTCCTCTTAGACCACCTCTAAACTAGTTGAGTCAAGATAAAACACCTAAGAAGTTCTCTAGGAGTATGCAATTGACTAACACCTATCCTGACTTGTAGCTAAACCCTTTTCGTAAATTGTGGGAAATCTCAATTCATAGTTTTAGATACACATTTGGAAAGCTCTTCCTATCCCTAAATCTAAATCTAGCAGCCATTCATCATAAGAAAGCAAAATGAGAGCTTACAGTGGACAGGAGCCTGTGTTATTGTCGGTGACTCCCGAGTAACGGTCTGTGTTTGTCCTTCACTGCATTTTGCGTTCTGCAAGAGAGTTAACAAAGAAGAACAAGATGATCAAATTCATGATAAACATTCCTCACAACCTCTCATGTTTACTCTTCAAACCATATTGCAATTATAGATTAAATGTAATCAATGAAAGAGCAATTCAATGAAGCAAAGACATGTGAGGTCAAGATGACTTACAATGGCTGAGTGACATATCAAAAGAGATTGCCTTCTACTTCCAAGGCCTGAGCTCAATCCCAATGGAGATACTCTATTTTGCAATTTGATTCCGCCGAGCGATCCTGAACTATGAATTTGCAGCTTTCCTATATCAAACAAAAGCAAGGTTTACACTCTTGGACCCAAAATTGACGAAATCGGTACATATAATCATCATGTACAGAGGTTTCAATCAACACCGAATTTTGATACCTCATAGGTTAAATCCCTAGGGATAAAAACGTAACCCAGAGCCAGAGGATAAGAGATATGAAGACGAGCTATTAGAGTGAGAAAGAAAGCGTACCGTTGTTACTATTGAACGAGAGCGGAGAAGATTGGATAATAGACGCCGCCATAGCCATGGCTAAAGCGAGCTTGACAGGAGAGGAAGGAGAAGGAGAAGGAACTAGATAGAGATTATCATTTCACCTACGCGTATACTTTTGTCAACTTGCAGCCAATAACGAAACGCCACGTGGGAATATTTCCATCTTTTTTTGTTTCGAGTCCTCGTACTTTCTTTAAAGTTTATTTTGAGGACCAAACTATTGTCAAGGTTAAAAGGACCAAAATAACGAAAGTCATTGGATTTTAATTTTATTTGAGACAAAAAGAGTCTCTCCTCTCTCTATGGATTGGTGGTACAACAAAGGCTTTGATAAAACTCATAATAATAGATTTACAACAGAAGAAGAAGAAACCCATTTAGGTCCCTTCAGATGTAATAAAGAGAATTTTGTTAAACGGTAACTGGCGTTGCTTCATCAAGAGCGACCACACCGGGAAGCACTTTGCCTTCCAAGAGCTCCAAACTGGCTCCACCACCTGTGGAGATGTGACTCATGACTCCTGCTACTCCCACTTTCTCCACTGCTGCCACCGAGTCTCCTCCTCCTATTATCGTTGTCACTCCCTTTTTGCTTAGCTCTGCTAGTTTATTCGCTACCGCCTGCGCCATTCAACCATGCTACGTATTAGTTCTAACAGTCAACTAACAGTATATAAGAGTCAGAAAATTATATGCTTCTTCTTACCTCAGTTCCTTGTGCAAACTTTTCAAACTCGAATACTCCCATTGGTCCATTCCAAATGACTGTCTGTGTGGTATCCAGAGCTTCGTTGAAAGTTTTCACCGAGTCTGGACCGATGTCCAATCCCATCCACCCATCAGGAATGGCTGAAGCTGGCACAATCTACAACAATCACATTACACACAACATAGACGTCAAATCCAGTCTTAAGAAACAAACCATTTTTCGATCTTTTTGTCAACCAAGAATGCCAAGCTTTTAGCAATAATTATTGGAGACGGACCTTGCTGTTGGCATCAGGAGCAAACTTGTCAGCAATCACAACATCTGTTGGTAACAACAGAGAGACTCCTCTGGCCTTAGCCTTGGCAAGGAGTGATGTAGCCAATTCAAGCTTGTCTTCTTCAACAAGGGAAGAGCCAACAGAAAGACCTTGCGCCTTGTAGAATGTAAAGATCATTCCACCACCAAGCAGAAGAATGTCACATTTCTCAAGAAGAGATTCGATAACTCCAATCTTAGATGAGACCTTGGAACCTCCCACAATGGCAGCAAATGGTCTCTTTGGGTTTGAAACCGCACCCACAAGGTAGTCCAACTCCTGTGAAAAATATAATATAACCAAATATGATTCAATTCATAACTCATAACTCAATTCACGACGGACTCCTTCAAACAGCAGTTGAGAAAACTATTGACCCTTGAGTTTAGACATCTCTCATGGAAATACAATGATGAACAAGCAATCAATTATTTCATGATCAAGGGTTTAGTGGCATTTGTAGCAGTGATGCTTCTAAATTATCAATTTAAAGAAAGAATCTTGTATCAAAATGTCACCTTTTGCAAAAGGAAACCAGCAACTGATGGCTTCAAGAACTTAGTGACTCCCTCTGTTGAAGCATGGGCTCTATGAGCAGTCCCGAAAGCATCATTGACATAAAGGTCAGCTAGAGAAGCAAGCTTCTTAGCAAACTCAGGTTCGTTCTTCTCTTCCTCCTTGTAAAACCTCACGTTCTCAAGAAGCAAAACTCCTCCTTCAGGAAGGGAAGCCACCAAGCTTTCCACTTCTGGACCAATACAATCATCAGCTTTCACGACCTGCAGATTCCACACCAAAAGCCTCAAAAGATTGCCACAACAAGATGATAGATTCAGATCCATTGAAAATCATGAGGGTACCTCAATACCAAGGAGTTCTGACAATCTGGGAACAAGAGGAGTCAAGCTAAACTTTGGAGTGACACCCTTTGGCCTTCCCTGAAAGATGATAGATGAAAATCGAAATGTAAAGACTTTGATGTGGCTTTGAGTTGATTAGAGAGATTAAAGAGATGGGTAAGTGTAGGACATACCAGATGAGTGGAGAGGATGACCTTAGCACCATTCTCAATCAAAAACTTAATGGTGGGAATGGCGGCTCTGATTCTAGTGTCGTCAGTGATATTCTGGTTGTCATCGAGAGGTACATTGAGATCAGCTCTAACAAACACCTTCTTCCCCTTCAAATCCGCAGAAGTCAGATCTCCAACACTCTTCTTCGCCATCGTAATCACTCCCCTGGTGCCCTTTCCGCGCACGGACTGGACCTTGGAAGCCACGTGGACGGAGAAACGCGAGTCAACGACAGCGGAGAAGCCGAGGCGACGTGCGGAGACAGCGGTGGAGGTAATGGGTAAGAAAGAGGCGCGGGAGGAGCGGGTAACGGCGGCGCCACCGGTGGATTTGATGATCGAAAGAGCTGCAGTTGCGGCGGTGGAAGCCATGTGAAGTCGACGGGTAGAGAGAGAGATAGTGAAAGTGAAAGTGAGAGAATAAGGAAGAAGAGTGAGAGGATTGGATGATATTACAAGTTTCTGGATTTTGTCTTATCGTTGATGAGAGGTTATCATAATTCTTTCACCTTCCTCTGCATACAATCTGGGCCACATTCACAAAGATCATGTCTTTTGATCGAAACAAAAGTTTACTTCCATATATGGTAAAGAGAAGTAAGTATTGACTCTAATAATAAATATGATTAAATTAAATGACTCATCTGCAATATTTAGATAGCTAAATGGGCTTTAGGCCCAATTAATTTCTGGCCTTCCGAATAAATACGTTTTGGATATTTTTTTATTTTGGAAATTCCGGCGAGAACCACCTCTAATGGCTTTATCTCCGTCGTCTCCTCCATGTCTCAGATCTCTTTCGCCTTCTACTCCTCCTTTTTCTCGCCGAAGTGGTGGCTTCCTTGTTCCACGTGTACAGTCTCTAGCCTTTAGTATCGTACGGAGGCATGAGGTGCGGAGGCCGAGTGCGCTCAGGGAATGGCGGGAGTACGAAGATGCTGTGAGGAGAAAAGATCTCGCTGGGGCTCTTAGATTCCTCAAATCTATAGAAAATGATGAAGAGCGTGATGCGGTTGAATCTATTGTCGCGGCTCCGATAACGGCTAAGTTAAGCAGTTTGGGAGGTCTTGAATTGGAGAGGGATTGGCAAGTCTTAGATGCGTGTTTGAATGCAGATGATATGAGACTTGTTGGAAGTGCATTTAGGTTTCTTAAGGAGAGAGGTCTTTTGGCCAACTTCGGCAAATTCAGCAGTATTGGTACTCTGTTTTCTCTGTTTAGATAGATGTACATAAGTAATGTTTAGCTATGTGTGCAAGCATTTGTTCAATGATTTTCTTGCTTCTCTCTTTCTGTATCACTGTGATGCAGTTTTGGAGGGAACAAGAGAGGTTACACCTACTGTTCTGAAGTCTGCAACTGGCTTGGAAGGTCTGTAGATCAAATTTCTATCTTCAGTCATCTTTGATTACTCCTCAGTGTGTGGCGTTGGAAACTTATTGAAGTTTCTATATTGATTAGTGACTAAACTTTCACCGAAGAAGTGGGGACTTTCTGGTGGCTCTAGCATTGCTCTGGCTGCTTTTCTGGGTGGAGTCTCCTATCTTCTTTCTCAGGAGATTGATGTGCGGCCAAACCTTGCTGTCATTTTGGGTCTAGCTTATATGGATTCTGTTTTTCTTGGCGGTACCTGTTTAGCCCAAGTATCATGCTACTGGCCTCCACATAAGCGTAGAATCGTAGTTCACGAAGCGGGTCATCTTCTTGTTGGTAAGAAATTCGTGATCATCTCGTCATTGGTATTTTTATGAAATTTCTTGGTCTTTTTGTGGCTAACAATTGCAGCTTCTTTGTCGTGCAGCATACCTCATGGGCTGCCCAATCCGTGGTGTGATATTGGATCCGATTGTTGCCATGCAAATGGGGGTTCAAGGCCAGGTATTATTCAGATGCATTGTAGTATTATACTATTCTATCTTGTCGTGCTGCGATTATATGCTCCTTTTTAGCTACATATAAAACCAAGTACAGAACCGGATTGTCATGTGTTTCCTGTAGGCTGGAACTCAATTTTGGGATCAAAAGATGGAGAGTGAGATTGCTGAGGGACGACTTAGCGGTAGCTCATTTGATAGGTGATTATTAATTAGTCAAGGTCTTGTTCTTTTGCTGTGAATTTTGTCTCATTCACAACCCTAATGGTGGTTCAGTTTCTCTTAGGTATAGCATGGTACTATTTGCTGGTATTGCAGCTGAAGCGCTAATTTATGGTGAGGCTGAGGGTGGGGAGAATGATGAAAATCTGTTCAGGAGCATCTCAGTCCTTCTGGAACCACCGTTATCCGTGGCTCAGGTCAGGACTAATGAAACTAGTCTATAAGCTTCCACTTTTCTTGCACAAGTGTACCGATTGTTAAGCATTGCGAACCTGTGCGTTTGATCATGCAGATGTCGAATCAAGCCAGGTGGTCTGTTCTACAATCTTACAATCTACTCAAGTGGCACAAGGCAGCACATAGGGCCGCAGTTGAAGCTCTCCAAGTGGGAAGTCCTCTTAGCATTGTGATTAGAAGGATTGAGGAAGCCATGTCCTCAAGCAGATGACTGAAGCATCAGCATTTTCTGTAATTTATTACTAATACGGACAACCCATAAAAAATTCATTTGGAATGTGTGGAGACGGAAGCAGATAAGCTCTCGATATATAAATCAACTGACTGCAACTGGAATGGCGAGAAGGGACTTGTATCTTTGGATCCATGTTCAAGTAAGTTAAGGTTTTATACACTATAAGGGAGATGTGGAGATGAGATAGTAGCTCCCTTGCCTTATTCATCTGTGTTTCAAGGTTTAAAGGAATAGAAGCCAAGCTTTTTAATAGCTTACAGAAAATGGTTGTAAAGTAGCAATCACATGAAAGCTGTATAGTTGAATTCCTGCGAAATAAAGTTTTGGGTATTACTAGTAGTGGCTTTCTAACATTCTTGTTATTATTTGATACTGATGAGAACAGGAACTGCATTGACATAGATATAGACTATAGATCATCTGGTGATATACTAACATGTCATTACAGAACACAATAGAAAGGGTTCCCAGCAGAGCAGAGCTACCTTACTACGATACAACCAAACAAACGAAAGGAGAAAAGTTTTAAGACTCATCATGGTGTTGCTCCTGGGGCCAGTGTTGCATCATCCCCTGTTGCTGCATGTAATAGTATGGCGGAGAACCCACCACGGATGGTATGGTCCCTTTCGTCACCCCTAAACCTTCTTCTTTCAGCTCGTCCCTCGGGATTATGTCCACGAGGAAATCAAACACGTCGGTCCTGGAAATGGCAGCGGCGATGTCGTTCTTCTGCAAGGTCCTCCTCTTGTTCTCCTCGGTGTGGATCCAAGCACGTAGCGTGAGCTCCAAAATGAACATCTCACAGGCCTTGGCAAAAATCACTGGAGCCTCCGCAGAGATCATCCTCACATCTTCATCAGCTTTCATGATCTTCTTGATGCGGGCCAGCGGAAGGGTGTGGTTCTTGAAATCAGTGGTATGCTCGATCTCTTGCATTTGGTTAGCCCAGAAAATCTGAAGCTGCTGCTGCTGTTGTTGCTGATGGTGGTGGTGGTGGAAGTGGTGAGCTTGTTGGAATGCCATATGCGAAGCTGCATTTGCTGGCCCACTCTGATAAGCATGAGGAGGTACATAATCCATCATTCCCTGTTGCTGTTGACCCTCTTCTGACTGATCCATTGCTAAGCTAACTCTGTCTATATAAAATTGCAGATTGACAATTAATCCAAGGGGATTTAGAACTTAAGTCTTAAAAATTCCAGAAAAAAAAAAAAAGCGCATGCATGCCCGAATTAAGCTCAGATATGCTGGTTTCAAATCCGGATTTTGGAGTGACAAACAAAGCAGAGCACGATTCACAACAGAGACCAAAGATGATAACTTTTGTTACTTTACTTTGGTTTTGTCAAAGCTAAAGGATCAAAGAAGCAAAATTTGAAGAAAAAGAAATTGGAGAGAGAAGGTTACATAGAAACAGAAAATGGAAGAAGAAGAAACAGAGACATACCAGTGAGCACGATTCACAACAGAGACCAAAGATGATAACTTTTGTTACTTTACTTTGGTTTTGTCAAAGCTAAAGGATCAAAGAAGCAAATTTGAAGAAAAAGAAATTGGAGAGAGAAGGTTACATAGAAACAGAAAATGGAAGAAGAAGAAACAGAGACATACCAGTGAGAGTGAGATCTCGCGCAACCCTAAGAAAAATGGGTTCGGAGAGGGTTAGCTTTTAATCAAGCGTTTCTGGTGGTGGTATCTTCCGCCCAGTCGACACGTGTCGAAAAGGTCGGAGTTTGAGGTTACTGCCACCTGTACGCTTTTCATTGGGTGTATTGTGTTATTCCAGAAGTTTCATTATCGGACGGTTTCGTAGGAAAAAGTTTGGGCGAAGAACACGTGACGTGCGCGTGAACAAGTCACGTGACATTTGCGCAAACCTACTTTCGACTTTCGAAGAAGCCCATTGGATCTTGTGGGCTGTAAATCACCCGGGTCGGGTCAAAAAAAACTTGACCCTAATTGTCAACAAAAGAATCCAGGACGGGGAAGAGCAGAGTTGTTTAGGTGAAATCTAGCCAAAAACGAACAAGTGTCATATAGCTCTCATAAAACATGCATCTTCTCAATTTCAATTATACTTTGTATAATCCATGAATATACTCAACATTCGAAAGTGGAGACAACATTGGTCATGCATATATCATTGCATTCATAGACATACTTCTCCGACGAAATTAAAATCATCAAAGTAAGTTTGGTTGTCGATGAAGTTGAACCACTCGTCGTACTCATTGTTAAGAGTAGGTGTATGTGTGGTTGATTCAACCAGCTGTCTCCACAAGTCGGATTCTCCGTTTGTGTCCTCAAATCCATATGGGATACCTGGTTGAGGATTATCAGATGATTGCGATTTGGTTACCACCTCTTGAGTCACTCCGCATGTGGTTGAAATGTGAGTTTCGTCGTGATGAAGAAGAGAGTCTAGCGGAAATAACATTTCGTTATCCTGAAGAAACTCAGAGGTTATATCATCAAAGTCATCATGGTCGAGCAGGAATTGGATCTCGTTGAGTTCATTAACCTCATGCAGCTCTGGTTTTGTGTGCATACACTCGACTTGGGGATGTGACGAAGTAGCTGAGTCTTGGCTCTCTTTTAACCCTGAATGCATTTCTTCTTGAGCCCCGTCACAGTTCTTGTCATGATCTGCTTTTGTGCTTTGGTCATGAGTGCTAGAGATGGATGAAGAAGAAGAAGAAGATGGAGTGATTCGTTTCTTGAGATGAGTGTTCCACACGTTCTTGATCTCGTTGTCCGTTCTTCCGGGCAAGAAGGACGCGATCTTTGACCACCTGATCACATATATCAATTAGTCTCTACATACTATATAATGTCTTTATTATAAAGAAATTAGATGAGTAGGTAGAGTACAAACTTGTTTCCAAGGGTTTGATGGTAGTGAATGATAGCATCTTCCTCCTTTTTGCTAAAGTTACCTCGCTTCACGTCCGGTCTCAGATAGTTTATCCATCTCAGTCGGCAACTCTTCCCACATCTCATCAACCCTATATATCAATCATTATTTCTCTTACTTAGTTATCGAAAACCATATAGTATTACCGAAACATGCATGAATAAATACCAACCAGCAAGCTTGGGAAGAGATCTCCAGTTGTGATGGCCATGTTTTTGAATAAAAGTGATGAGAGTGAGATCTTCTTGAGGGCTCCATGGCCCTCTCTTCACTTTGTTCTTGTCGCAACATGGTGCTCTTCCTTTCCCCATTCTTAGTACACTTTCTTCTCTACCTTCACTATATCTTATTATCTTTCTATATATGCAATTGTTATGTTTTTGATCATTATTAGGAGCTCCTATATATATCATAGATATAACCCGGCCCTTTACGTCAGATCGATGTTATATAATTATCAATTAGAGATTAGATTTTCCACTTCATTCAATAAAACTCTTATTTATTTGGGGCACTTCACTCGTAGAGAGACCCGAAAGCATGGAACGTACGGATGTGAACGGCCGTGATTATTGTGATTACCCTTAAAAATATTTTGTTATATATGTCCGTGTACAGATTATAGTGTACATTTAGTATTAAAGTATTATTGTGAAAAAGTAACAATTATGCATGATTCATTGATGAGTTACGGAAAATATGTATATTAGTTTGAGCATCACGGAAATATTTACATAGTTTAAAATATACTTTCTGGATTATTCAGTTTTAAAATATTTTATACAAAACAGATTTTCGACTTTTAGATTTTGATATGAGCGAGTAGAAATCTAGTATTGTAAACTTTAAAGCGGATGTTTGTGTGTGTGTTGAAGGCCACAAGAGCCATGCCACAAACAAAAGTAACACCAATTGGAGAAATTATTAATAGAATAAATTTTTAATCCTAATTAATTCACATCACTTTATTTATTGTTTATTAATCATGACACTTTTATTATTTGACATTTAGTTCAGAATGAGAATTTTATAATCCTTTTCTGTAGCTTATTAATTCATTTACTCCTTTCGGTATTTCTTATAAAACTCAACCCACATCATCATCATCATCGAAGTTTAGGTTTTTTTTTTCCTTGGCTATATATGAAGTTTTAATACAAAGAGTAATGAAAGTTCACGTTTCTATTAGTATATAGAGAAAAGTAGTTTATCTAGACATTGCGTTTTCATATGAATTTATATGCTACGATATTATTGACTGACTTTATTTTTGGTATCATATTTTACCCATATTTGTTTATCTGTGCGTGTGTTTTTTTTGTTTTTTAACTTTTTTTTGATAAATATTTCTTGAAGAATGATATATCTATACTATTAATTGGGAATCATTAGATAATAAAAAACCTTTAAGTTGTAGAATATTACATAGAATGCCATTGAATTTTTTTTAATTTAAAGAAAGAAAAAAAACAATTGAAAAAAATCGAAATTAAAATTAATAAATTAATAACTGCCTAATATTTTTGGATATTGTTTAAAGAAGATTCCATAATAAATCAAGCTATTTAATTTAAAATTTTATATATGTAAACTTATTTATTTTAGTAATATATTATTAGATATATCCGGAAACGGCAATCTAATTTAATAACAAATTATTATTTAGTTTAGATTTTAAAAGATTTTTTTAACAAAACTATTTTAATTAATTCTGATTAAATCACATGAAAAATAAACGATTTTCAAATTTTATTTTCCAAATATGAAAAAACATTTAGTATATTTGATATATATAATCTAAACTTAATAGTTCCATCCTTTTAAATATAGCATATTCAACAAATAATTTTTGGATTTTAGATTTGTAAATATCTAAAAAATATTTATAGTATACATTAAAATATTTTACGTTTTAATTAGAATATAAATGGTATAAATTTTGAAATATATTTTTTTAAAACGGGTAGTTTTCAATATTTTAAATATATATCACTAAGCTAAATTTGAATTATATAAAAGAAAATATATTTTTGAAACGTATTATATTAGTTACTATATCTCCAAATTATTTTATTTAGAGCCAAATAAATTAATATATTACTTATAAAAAAGTTTTTTAATATATTTCAAATCAAATAAATTATTTTATTTCGTATCAAATTGTTACAAGCTTTTGGAATATACATTCTTCTAAATTTGATTATTTTATTTTTCAAAAAATATTAAAATATAATTTAAATATCAAGGTTTTAAATTTTCAATGCAAATATTTCAAAATGAGAAAATATTGATTCACACCAATATTCTTATTTTTCTTTTAAATTTGAATAGCTTTTTTTTTGGAAACAAACATTAATAAGATTTTTTAACAACTCATTAATTGTAGGGTTTGAACTTTGAACAATCATAGTTACCATATTTGGGATAATGCATAAAGATAAGTTTCATGGAAAAATACCAAAATCGTTGAGATCATAGGAAATTTTAGATTTTTTTTTAAAATTTGTCATCATAAATTTAAAATATGCAATTAAGTTTTATTTTTTTGGTAAAGATTGAATCCACAAAATAAAACCTAATTTCGTGTACAATCTATTTCCTATAAATATTATGCATTTATGCATACATCCACGTTGATTATCTCAAATTTAATCTAGAAAATTGATTCTTTAAAACAATAGATGGAGATTTAAAAGCAAATTACTTCATGTTCTTATGATGTTTATCTCCCGATTATACTAACCTCCTATGCGTATTTTTATGGTTTTTGGTTTTAGAGTGAAAACAACAAAATATTCTATATTTACTAAATATTTATTACAATACATATCTTAAAATACGAAATCCCGCACGTACGTGCGGGTCATGATCTAATATACTATTATATCCAAATAGTAATAAAAAAAATATTGTGATATATTCCCTTTTATAGTATACTATTATATTATATTATTTCTTATTTCTTCGAACAAAATACACAATTTAATTCATAAAAAATATTAAATTCCGTGCTGTATAGCACGGGCCATGATCTAGTATACTTTTATGTGGATAAATGTGTATATAGAAGTATGTATAGAAAATATGATTTAAGCGTTCAATATTGTGGCGTGGATTTATCAGTTCATCACCATAGCCAATGATCTGTATAAGATTCGAGACATATGATTAAAACTAACACTATGGGTTTGAATAGTATACAGATTTCTCACCCTACGTACATACCATTTACAAAAACTTGGTAACATGATAAATTGACAAACCCTATATGTAAGATTTACCCTAACTAACATGATAACATCAGTGAGACCTACATGAGATAAAGATTAATTGTCAGGTAAAATTCTATTTAAGGGTCCTCGTCTCAAAAATATGCCCCTAAATTTTATCTAAACACTAATCTGCTGTTTAAAGCGTATTCCACTTCCTGAAATTTCTAATATGAGCATGACCATTCCTTCCAGAACTCAAAGTTCCTTATTTAAAGAAAAAAAAAACTCAAAAAGTTTCAACACGAAGTTGTACATCCAAATCATGATATGACTAGGATCGGACCCGGACGTACGTCCGGGGTTATGTGAACTTAGAATTTTATGAATTAAAACATTAATGTATTTAAATTGTGTGTGTTTGTGTGAAAACAAACTTCACATGATTATGTAATTGTGATTATATTAGAGAGATGATATAATTCAAAAAATGTATGGTAAACATAAGTAACATGTATCTATAAGAATGTATGTTTGTAGTGTATGTATTAAAAGTGGATTGAAGTTTGGATGGTAAAAAAAAGAGTTAGATGTGATAATAGGTTTCGTATTGGACATGTATACATTATAAAGATCCAATATACTCTAAATAACTAATTTTTTTTTATAAAAACGTAAATATGTTATACCAAATACTTAGTTTTAGGGTTTTATTGCAAATATAAAATTTTGGCTTATTTTAGAGTCATACCTTACATGCAAAATAGTAATTCTAAGAAACTACAAACGTCTAATAAACTAAAGATTTTGAAAGACTTCCTTGAAATCACATTCCAAGTACTCTTTTGAGGCTTACCATCTTTGTCGACAATTAGAACCTTTATTCCTTTCTTTGAAGTAACTCTAGAGACTGCAACGTATAGCTAACCATGTGAAAAGCAGGGCCGAGGAAGATAGAGACCAACATTGTCTAATAATTGACCCTGACTTTTGTTTATTGTTATTGCAAAAGCAACAACTAATGGTAACTGTCTCCGACGCATTTTAAAAGGCAGCTTAGTGTCTGAAGAGATAGCAAAATCCTCGGTATTAAAACTTTATCACCCACTCTATCACCGGTGATAATTATAGCCTCAATAATCAATAATCAGTGAGACCTACATGAGATAAAGATTAATTGTCAAGTAAAATTCCATTTAAGGGTCCTCGTCTCAAAAATATGCCCCTAAATTTTATCTAAACACTAATCTGCTGTTTAAAGCATATTCCACTTCCTGAAATTTCTAATCTGAGCATGACCATTCCTTCTAGAACTCAAAGTTCCTTATTTAAAGAAAAAGAAAAAAAAAAAACTCAAAAAGTTTCAACACGAAGTTGTACATCCAAATCATGATATGATGATTAATTAATTTGTAGTTGTTTAGACTATAAACAGGGATGATTAATTCATATATTCATAAATTAAAATATGGCATGGCATGGTTAGACTTCAAACCCACGCCACTAGGCTCTGATGTAACATTGTGCAAAACCCTATTGATCATTTGATCCGAATACATATATTATCTACTTTATTTAAACACGTAAGTATGCAATTTTATATAGGTTTAAATAATGCATGATGTACTAAAACATGAATACCATCCTCTATTTCAGTTAGGCAAGCAAGAATCTTAAGACTCGTAACTCAATTAAAGTGCTAATAAAATGTGTGGAAGTACAAATAATCCATGCCTCCCATTCCCAACTTCCAATCAAGATCAGCATACGTACTTCTTTTGTACGTACGTATATACGGATACAGACAAATATATATAAAATACATATTAGGGTTCTATAATATTATACATACATATGAAATAAAATATTAATAAAAGAGATTGGACATAAGGTAAAGTTTCAAAATGTGACGTAGCATGTGGGTCTAAGATAAGTAAAAAACATAAACATGAAACTTGTAAATGATTGGCAATCACATATATACGTAAAATATAAATAGTTTGTTTTTTTAATTTGAAGTGGTAACTTGTATGACTTAATTCATATTAAAAAGGTAAACAAACACTACAAAAAAAAGATCATATTAAATCACTTAAATTGTATCACTTCACTAAATGATATTATTTTGAATCATTTATTTATAAATGATGTGTTATAGCATCAATTATACTAAGTGATGTTATAATTAATTAGTTTGACATCAATTATATAAAACTGATTTAAAAGCTATTATTTCGTATCACTTTTTAAAAACTGATATTAAATATTAATTTAAATATTATTTCGTACGGACTTCTTCCTCGCGACGTCGTGTTACTTGTGCAATTCTACGCGTGCCTGACTTCAACGCTACACGTGTTTTGACAATGAATAAATTTAGTCCGTACGTAAAATATTCTCCACCAACTTTACTATAATTATGAATTGATGATAGTTAGTAGTATTTGGGACAATGAAAATTAATGATAATAGAAGAAATTGACAGAATTTTTAATTTTGAATTTCTAATTTTGATATCAATTTTCTTCTTTCGATTTCGATTTTGTGCCTCAATTGGCTTTTGTCAACGAAAATCGTAATTAAATTGAAAGTCAACATAAAATTGAACATTTTAATCACCATGTGCAAAATTCATGCATGCTTTAAATCAACGAAAATAGACAACTGATAATTTAAATAATATTTTTCCCCCAAGAAAAACTATGTCAAGATGGACATGCCCACAGACAACCCATTCAACAAAAAACATGCATACAAAAGCATAAGAATTTCATTTTCAATTGAATATTAATTTTAAAGCTAAAGAGTTTGTAGCGATCAATTTTGTATGTCTCGGGTATGAATTTTTGAATCCTTTTCTTCAATGAAAAGTCTCTCTATTTATATAGATTTTTTAGTCGGTTTATTGTGATCATATCTTCAACTGAATATGCCACCACATTCAAACTATATGTAACCATATATAACACTAGCTCAAAAAGGGTTTTGGCCAAATCAAAATGGCATGGGTTGAAGAGAATCCTAGAAGAAGGGGAATTTTTCGAAGAGATGAAAAAAATCGAAGGAGACAGAGGACCAAAAGACATACCCAATGGAAAGATACATGACATATCATGTTTGGAAGGAGGAAAACTTTTAAACTAACCCCAACAAGTAGTTAGGTGCATCAGTGAAAGTAATGTTTTTTTACAATAACAAAGTTTGGAACACAAATGCGAGAAATACGCCCTAACAAAAGAATTCACGTACGCTTAGTTCATACATATTTGGTTATCTATGTAAATGTAAGAAAAGTAGAGACAAGCCTTTTGGCACACTTAGTACACATCAAGGCCATATATACTTATTTGCACTAAAATTTACTTACTAAGCTTACATGTATCAACTAATTAATCACCTTTCATGTAAAAAATATCTTCTAATGACAATGTACTAAACAAAACAAAAAAAATCCAAAAATTTGAATCTATCTATCACTTGCCGTATACTTTTCTATCAAATTACCGTTTGTATATCTTTATTTTTCGTTAAAACCAAAACGACGTCGACTCTACAAATTCCAATTTCTTAGAAACATGCATCTACTATTACATTTATACATTTATGCGTCGGAATGACCATTATTCTAACCAGAAAATTGATTCCCATACATATTTTGCAACTTTATCCTCTCTCTTGTGATACTATATAATTCCCCCGAATCAAGAACATTATATGTTAAAAACTGTAAACATCCCCGATCCTTACTAGGATCGCGGGACGGACCATGGCCGGGAACAAAGGGAGCCTGACCACGGAAAAACTAAGGAAACTCGTTCCATGGTCCGAAAGTATTGGCAAGTCGGGAAGGAAATGACTTAGCCAAATATTAAGTGAAAAAGGAAAGAAGAAAACAGCTCGACGGAGCTAAGTGGGAGCTGGACCAGCTGCCGACAAGCTGACGGGAGTGATGGTTAGCTCGGGTAGCTCGGCCGAACTGAACGGAGTGTTGAGCAGCTGGGCCAACCACCCAGCTAGTAAGACGGTTACTTCAAGTAGCTAGGCCGAGCTGGATGGAGTGTTGGACAGCTGGGTCAACTACCCAGCTAGTGAGGCGGTTACCCAATAGGCACGCACCAAGCGTGTGGAACGGTTGGGACGGTTACTCGACGAACACGTACCAAGCGTGTAAAAACGGTTGAGACGGTTACTCGTCCGAAGAAACCGTCACATCTCATCTGTTCGATCAAAAGGGCGGTTACAAACGGTTCCTCGACCCAAAAACGTATAAAAAGAACCCTTTGGGTCATTTTTCACGGGGGGAACGAAAGGAAAAAGGGATCACCGTAAAATCCTAAGGAATATCAAAAGGAAAGAGATTCTACGGGAAGTTACGAGCGAACTAACAATGGCGGGTGAAGAGATCGAGAAACCGACGGAGTCCGCCGGTATGAAAGAACAAGGACTGCACGTGGAAACATCTGAGCGTGTGGAAAAGGTGAGGGCATGACCGACTTGGCCAGAGATCCGGTGATACGGATCGGCCAAGGGTACCACTCGGTTCATGTGGCCTATCCTACCTTAAGATTATTATTTTGGTATAACGGTCATAGGAAGGGTTCGGGGTAAAACAAGGGGAACATCATAACATGAGCATGATTCCGAATGTTAAATCCTAGAATACTTATGTCTCGTTGATTTCAGGAAACGAAAAGGATCGCGGGAAGGACTTGGCTTAGACGCGGAAGACGTGTTGTCCGGGAAGATGGGTGGTGTAAATAATGTATATAAGTCTGGATGTGTAGGATCGAACGATTGTAATAGCCTATAGTGCAAACTCTAATGTTGTTCGAAACCGTTATAAATAAATAAAGTCCAGTTGTCTCCGTTATTTAATTGCATATCGACTCTTTTGTTAATGAATCTCAGAATAATCACAATCTAATTCTATTAAGTATGAAACAACCTCTTTGGACTTAGAGTCCGGAGATGGGACGTTTCAAGTTGGTATCAGAGCATGCTTGCTCCTAGGACAGAAAGTGTCGGGTTTTGGGTCACCACTCATCGGACAATAACGTCTTGCGCTAGGATTTTACTTTAACTCGTGGAGATTTTATTGGTTAGGATATACTAACTTGTTGGAATCTTCAGGTGGGAAAAAGCAAATCCAGTAAAAGGAAGAAAGACAAGGGAGTCGCGGGGACAAGTCAGGTCGAAGTCGGCATGACGAGCCGAAAGACTTCCAAACCGGCCGGTCCTGTGGCTGGGGAAAAGGAGACTGACCCGGTGGAATCCCTCACCATGAAATCCACGGTTGTCGAACCAAGAATCGGCGATGCGGAAAATCAAGAGGAAACCACGGAGAATTTGATTGAGGAAAATGTGAATGCGGTTACGGAGGAAGAGATCCCAACCGCAGTTCCTTCAATCGGAGAAATGTGGAACGCAATGAAGACGGTCATGGCCCAATTGGCGATTCTGACCCAGACTTCCTTACCGGCGGAAGGACCAACCGCCGGCCAGTCTGCCAAGATTCGATCAACGGTAACTGCCTCGGGAATCAATGCGGAAAATTCCTCTGAAGTAATCGAGGTAGATCCGCCAGTTCGTGCTACCCGAAAGGTGGATTACCTAAGCTTGCTGGGACACATCTCTAAGCTTGGGACAAGACACTTCAAGGGTAGTTCGGACCCAATAGAAGCGGATGAATGGAGGAGCCGATTGGTAAGAAACTTTAGGTCCACGCGTTGCCCGGAGGATTACAAAAAAGATATCGCGATCCACTTCCTAGAGGGGGATGCGCATAACTGGTGGCTTGCGGTTGATAAACGCAAAGGGGGACGTATTGAAACTTTCAAGGACTTCGAGGACGAGTTTAACCGGAAGTACTTTCCTGTCGGAGGCATGGGACAGACTCGAGAGTGATTTCTTGGATCTTGTTCAAGGTCGTCGAACGGTTCGGGAATATGAAGAAGAGTTCAACAAACTCAGGCGCTACGTGGGAAGGGAACTTGAGGACGAGGCAGTACAAGTCCGTCGGTTCCTTCGTGGCTTAAGGGTAGAACTACGAACTCACTGCTCGGTCCGCACCTTCAACACAGTCTCCGAACTTGTTGAGAGGGCCGCTATGATCGAAGCGAACCTTGCGGAGGAAGACCATGCCAGAATAAGGTCACAACCCGGTGGAAACCAAAAGTCAGAGGGTAAGAAAAGGAAATACGACCAAATGGATGACAAAGGAAAAGCATCAAGTGGTCGTGGTGAATGCACTAAGTGCGGAAAGAGACACAGCGGAGAATGCTGGAAGTCAATGGGGGCTTGTATAAGGTGCGGAAGTATGAACCACGGTATACAAAACTGCCCAAGGATGGAACAAAGGCAAGTGAAAGTGACGGGTGAGGACCAAAGGCCGTGTTACCATTGCGGAAAAGTTGGGCACTTCAAGAGGGAATGCCCGAAGTTGCAAGTGGAAAGGCAAATGGGTGAGAAGGGAAACCGCGGAGGACCAGAACCATCAGCACAAGCCAAAAGGCAAGCCGTGGTACCCCGCGTGTATGAGCTGACAAAGGAAACTGGCGTGTCCGGTAACTTCAGCGCGATCACTGGTAAGTCACTAAGCCTATCCTACTTAAATACGAACATTGCATCGCATGAAAGCATGAAAGGGTTGGGTACTTAGCATTCAGGACGAATGTGTAGGGACCCTAAGTATCGGTGGTGTGGAAACACACACATTATTCGATTCCGGGGCTACACATAGTTTTGTAAGCCCGGATATGATCGGAAAAGGAATGTTCCAAAAGGAACCAGGGAATAACCACCACATGGTAAAGGCGGCGGGTGGGCAGACCATGATCTCATCAGGTCTGGTTTGCGGGGTACCCGTGAGTATTCAGGGAACTAATATGCCGGCTGACCTAATCATCCTACCGCTCAAGAAACATGAAGTGATTTTGGGCATGGATTGGTTAGGAAAATACAAGGCAACGTTGGACTGTCACCGGGGTAGGGTGCGGTTTGAACAAGAAGGAAAAAGGCTGGAATTCCAAGGGATCCGGCCGATAGCAGGGAGCCTAGTAGTCTCGGCAATCCAAGCGGAGCGAATGCTCGAGAAAGGATGCGAGGCGTACTTAGTCACTATCTCATGTACGGAGGGTGGGACTAATACGGAGTTGAAAGACATTCCGGTAGTAAAAGACTTCGCGGATGTGTTCCAAGCCTTGTCGGGTCTACCCCCGGATAGGTCCGATCCATTCACGATAGAACTTGAACCCGGAACTACACCACTCTCTAAGGCACCATACCGAATGGCTCCGGCAGAAATGGCCGAGCTTAAAAAGCAATTGGAAGACCTATTGGAAAAAGGTTTTATACGACCAAGTAGTTCACCGTGGGGAGCACCGGTGCTATTTGTCAAGAAGAAGGACGGAAGTTTCCGGCTATGTATCGACTATAGGGGGATAAATCGGGTTACCGTCAAAAATAAGTACCCGTTACCTCGGATAGACGAGTTGCTGGATCAACTCAAGGGAGCAAAGTGGTTCTCCAAAGTGGACCTGGCATCGGGGTACCATCAAATCCCGATAGAGCCATCGGACATTCGGAAAACGGCGTTTAGAACGAGGTACGGCCACTATGAATTTGTGGTCATGCCATTCGGCCTAACTAATGCACCGGCGGCATTCATGAAAATGATGAATGGGATCTTCCGTGATTGTTTAGATGAGTTCGTTATCATTTTCATAGATGATATACTCGTTTATTCAAAAGATCGGGGAGAACACAAAAGACATCTAGAGGCGGTACTAACAAGGTTAAGGGAACAGAAACTCTATGCTAAGCTAAGTAAATGTAGTTTTTGGCAAAGGAGTATCGGATTCTTGGGCCATATAGTATCGGAAGAAGGTGTATCGGTTGACCCGGAGAAGATAAGGTCTATTAAACAATGGCCAACACCGAGGAATGCAACCGAAGTAAGGAGTTTTCTCGGACTGGCGGGATACTACAGAAAGTTTGTGAAAGGATTCGCAAGTTTGGCCCAAGCCATGACGTTATTGACAAGGAAGGATACGAAGTTCGTATGGACAAAGGAATGTGAAGAAAGTTTTTCCGGATTGAAAGGCATGCTTACCAGCGCACCGGTTTTGGTTCTACCGGAAGTTGATGAACCCTATGTGGTTTATACGGATGCATCCATAACTGGGCTTGGCTGCGTGCTTATGCAAAAAGGAAAGGTCATCGCATATGCATCAAGGCAATTGCGAAAGCATGAAGGAAACTATCCAACACACGATTTGGAAATGGCTGCTGTGATATTTGCATTAAAGATATGGAGATCATACCTCTATGGGGCTAAAGTGCAAATATTCACCGACCATAAAAGTTTGAAGTACATCTTCACACAGCCCGAGTTGAACCTCCGACAACGAAGGTGGATGGAACTAGTGGCCGATTATGACTTGGACATAGTGTACCATCCGGGGAAGGCGAATTCGGTGGCGGACGCCTTAAGCCGAAGGAGAGCGGATGTGGGGGCAGAAAAGGATATGGAAGAATTGATCAATGTGATCGGGGAAATGAATCTCAATGCCTTGTCAACTGATCTAGAACCGTTGGGTTTGAGCGCTGCGGATAAGGCAGACTTACTCACACGGATACGAATTGCTCAAGGTACGGATGAGAAGTTAAAGAAGGTGCTACAAAATGAGAAGACCGAGTATCAAACATCTAACAACGGAACGATTGTTGTTAACGGGAGAGTAAGTGTTCCAAACGACGCGGGTCCTTAAGGAGGAAATTCTACAAGAAGCTCATCAATCCAAGTTCTCCATTCACCCGGGAATGAATAAAATGTATCGGGATCTTAAACGATACTATCATTGGAAAGGGATGAAAAGAGATGTGGCGGAATGGGTATCAAAGTGTCCAACATGCCAATTGGTTAAAGCCGAGCAACAAGTTCCAAGTGGATTGTTGCAAACACTACCAATTCCGGAATGGAAGTGGGACCACATCACAATGGATTTTGTGACGGGTTTACCAAATACAAGGACAAAGAAAAACGCAATATGGGTAGTGGTGGATAGACTCACGAAATCCGCCCATTTCATAGCCATCAAGAAAACGGATGGTGTTAAGGCGATTGCGGAGAAGTATATCAACGAAATCGTTCGATTTCATGGAGTACCAGCAAGCATAGTCTCCGACAGAGACTCGCGGTTCACATCCCACTTTTGGAAAGCCTTTCAACAAGCCTTGGGGACAAGGATCAACATGAGTACGGCATACCACCCACAAACAGATGGGCAATCGGAAAGGACTATAAAAACCTTGGAGGACATGCTACGAGCTTGTATACTGGATTGGGGCGGTTCATGGGAAAATCACCTTCCCTTAGCCGAGTTCGCATACAACAACAGTTTCCAAGCAAGCATCGGAATGTCTCCGTACGAGGCATTGTATGGTCGACCGTGCCGAACCCCACTGTGTTGGACACAAGTAGGGGAAAGAACAATGATTGGCGCTAATATCATCGAGGAAACAACAAATAAGATAAAAATACTCAAGATAAAGATGAAGGAGGCGCAAGATAGGCAGAAAAGCTATGCGGACAAACGAAGAAAAGACATTGCGTTTGCGGTTGGAGATAGGGTTTATTTGAAGATGATAACGTTTAAAGGTCAAGCGAGAACATCAAAGAAAGGAAAGCTGGATCCAAGATACATAGGACCGTTTACGGTCTTGGAACGTGTGGGGACGTAGCGTACAAGTTGGAATTACCAGCAGCAATGTATGCGTTCCACGATGTATTCCATGTATCACAACTAAGGAAATGCTTGACCGATCGAGATGTACTATTACCGGAGTTACCACCCGATCTTCGAGAAAACTTAACGGTGGAAGCAAGGCCGGTAAGGATTATAGATAGAATGGAGAAGAAGACAAGAAGAAAAGTAATCAACATGGTTAAAGTCCTTTGGGAATGTAATGGTAGAGAAGATGCAACTTGGGAGACGGAAAACCGAATGAAAGCCGAATTCCCAAGATGGTTCGAAAAGATGAAGAAGGAAGAAACACTTGAATCGGATTCGGGGACGAATCCCTCTCAGGTGGGGGAGACTTGTAACATCCCCGATCCTTACTAGGATCGCGGGACGGACCATGGTCGGGAACAAAGGGAGCCTGACCACGGAAAAACTAAGGAAACTCGTTCCATGGTCCGAAAGTATTGGCAAGTCGGGAAGGAAATGACTTAGCCAAATATTAAGTGAAAAAGGAAAGAAGAAAACAGCTCGACGGAGCTAAGTGGGAGCTGGACCAGCTGCCGACAAGCTGACGGGAGTGATGGTTAGCTCGGGTAGCTCGGCCGAACTGAACGGAGTGTTGAGCAGCTGGGCCAACCACCCAGCTAGTAAGACGGTTACTTCAAGTAGCTAGGCCGAGCTGGATGGAGTGTTGGACAGCTGGGTCAACTACCCAGCTAGTGAGGCGGTTACCCAATAGGCACGCACCAAGCGTGTGGAACGGTTGGGACGGTTACTCGACGAACACGTACCAAGCGTGTAAAAACGGTTGAGACGGTTACTCGTCCGAAGAAACCGTCACATCTCATCCGTTCGATCAAAAGGGCGGTTACAAACGGTTCCTCGACCCAAAAACGTATAAAAAGAACCCTTTGGGTCATTTTTCACGGGGGGAACGGAAGGAAAAAGGGATCACCGTAAAATCCTAAGGAATATCAAAAGAAAGAGATTCTACGGGAAGTTACGAGCGAACTAACAATGGCGGGTGAAGAGATCGAGAAACCGACGGAGTCCGCCGGTATGAAAGAACAAGGACTGCACGTGGAAACATCTGAGCGTGTGGAAAAGGTGAGGGCATGACCGACTTGGCCAGAGATCCGGTGATACGGATCGGCCAAGGGTACCACTCGGTTCATGTGGCCTATCCTACCTTAAGATCTTTATTTTGGTATAACGGTCATAGGAAGGGTTCGGGGTAAAACAAGGGGAACATCATAACATGAGCATGATTCCGAATGTTAAATCCTAGAATACTTATGTCTCGTTGATTTCAGGAAACGAAAAGGATCGCGGGAAGGACTTGGCTTAGACGCGGAAGACGTGTTGTCCGGGAAGATGGGTGGTGTAAATAATGTATATAAGTCTGGATGTGTAGGATCGAACGATTGTAATAGCCTATAGTGCAAACTCTAATGTTGTTCGAAATCGTTATAAATAAATAAAGTCCAGTTGTCTCCGTTATTTAATTGCATATCGACTCTTTTGTTAATGAATCTCAGAATAATCACAATCTAATTCTATTAAGTATGAAACAACCTCTTTGGACTTAGAGTCCGGAGATGGGACGTTTCAAAAACAGCATTAATATTTTTCCTAGTTCCTCTTATGGTAGAAACATACATAGCGATATTTTATTGAAAATATGAATTAGTACTACTTCATATTTTATGCTAGTCTATCTAGTGGTTAAATTTTTGATTCAATGTTTGGAAGCTTAGACTATATTAAATATTTTCAAAATTTTCATTGTGATATTAAATATATATAATTGTATTATTGTAGATTTGAACAGCTGCCGTGTGGACCATGATGACTTTGACTATTTTTTTTTTTTTTTGGTCAAATGACTTTGACTATATGAAACGAAGAATGCACTAATTTGATCCTATAGTATATTTTTAAAACATAGGAAAACAAATAAATGAGTTGTAAGATTTTTCTTGGTAGTCTAGTGTCCTAAAATTCATCATACGGTTGATGAACCATGTTCGAATTTTTCTATACGGTTTTAGTAATGATTGATAGTTGTTACAAAGAGGAAAAAAAGGAAAATACAAAAGCTAATAAATGGGTGTCTACGAATGTGGTTGTGCAGGTGAAGTAACATGGGAAGACAAGTTACATACATAACTCCTTGATGCACATAATTATTAGAAGGAAACAACAAAAGAGTGGTTAAGATATAAATAGAAAAGGAGAATTGTTAAATTGCACAATACTGATTTTGTGAGGTTATCTATTCTCCCAAGTTTTGGAATCAGCTAATAATGACACTTTTTGCCACTACTTATGGGAAACATCTTACGGCGGTTTCTCCTTCCTCATGTGTTAATCAAAAACCAGAAAAATAAAAGGCTTAATTAAATCTCGATTTTGTCACATATATAATCCCATCATCAAATAGATCTGATAAACCTTAGATAAAGAATAGGTATTTACATAACTCTGTCTCCTCTATAGATAAGTAGCAAGATATAAGACACTAGAAACGTCTTATGTTTCAAAAGAGATCGTGTAGGTCATGTGACTCGGCGAGTCCGAGACGGAGAGACTCCAAGATGCGTTCGAACACAAGTACGTGGCAAGGGATGCGAAGCACTCCTTGTTGCTCGTATCCATACTCTTGAGCCGACCGCTTTAGCAATGCTACGAAAACGGGGTGGTTGAGAAGCTCCGCATTCACCACGAACCGCTCCATCTCTTGGCCTACATATACAGGCACGTGTCCCTCGGGAACCCAAGATTTGTGTTTCTCCTTCTTGGTGCGGCCACGATGGGATTCAGACCGGAGGAGGCTATACTGTGTTGAGTCCGCGACTCGCGTTAGACGGCGGATTAGCTGTTTCATCGTCCAAAGACCTCTAGAGAACAGAGTAGTGTGACTTACAAGAGGCAAGAGAGTGAGAAGGTCTTATATAGTCATATAGAGAGACGAGGGTAAGACTGGAAAGGAGTTGTACGTACTTGCTAGGTACACTTATTAACATAGTAGTATATATTTTTTTATTTATGTGAATTAAAGTAGACATGGTCCGATTCAAAACGAAAATAAGTCCAGTCATGAATCTATTCATTTAGCGGTTTCGTGGAAAAGAGGTCATAGCTCTCTGCATTTGCCGTGGACAATCGGAAGTTGTGAAAGCGATGTTGTGTGGAAAAGTATGGTATAATTCTTAAATAGATAAATCCAAGACTATAGTCTGAAATGTGGTTATATATTTTTGCGGAATAGAAAAGAATTAGGAAAAGAGAGGCGTAAATTGCGGGGGAGGTATTTGGACTTTGGAGTATAGGAAGTAGGGACAGTACAAATGTACAATTCCTGAATGTCTTATTGTCAATTTGTCACTGCTTTTTTCTTTTTCTTTTTACAGATTTTTAAAAACCATGCATGATTGTTTTTTTTTTTTTTTAATATAATGCATGCGCATGGTTGTCTCTGTTGTGATTATTGTAACAGGATATAGATACATGAATTCACGTTAGAATGTGAGAGTCAAATAAACTTATAAAACACCGAATCGGTAGCTCCACAGGTTGAACCCGGAGGCCGGAACTATGTGTTTAGAGAAGGTGTGCCACATGAGTAATGGATCGGATGAACTTTGGTTCGAATTTTTTCCGTTGGAAAAAAACAAGAACAAATAGGCAAGGAGAAAGATGAAGGAGAAGTTAGAAGCATAGTAGAAGGAACAGTCTCAAGTCGATTAGTGCATGCGGTTAAATATAATTCAAATGATAACTACGGATATAATATTAAGTATTTGATAGAGGAAAATGATACACTATTTTCTAAAAATGAGTTAGTGCTTGATACACGTGAAATTAATGAATTTTGGGGGCAATAAACGCCGTACGGTGGTCCATTCGTACAGAATGACCCACCCACTGACTTTATCTTTCTTCCATTTACGTGTCATACCAATACCAACACGACTTTTCTTCTGAAATTAAATGCATATATCTGTTCTTTTCCTTATTCCCCAAATAAATATCTCAAATGGCTTTGAAATGATGATTTTCGTTATTTGGTACTACCATGGAGAACACCACTATTTACTGCATACAACATTTTTAAAGTGAAGTGTAGTTCGGTAAAAGTTGCATTACATACTCAATAGTTAACCAAATTGTGCTACTTGCGAGTAAATGAAGCACTACTGGTGAGATAAATTAACTCTTACCGAGTCACTCAAATAGTGGCGTGTAGATAGATAGCAATGAGATAAATGCGAAAGCATGGGCTGCCCCAACCACTACAAAAAAAAGGATAGATTACATCAATTAAATAGTATCAGAAATATAAATGATACTAGTTTAAATTACTTATAAGCAAATGACACAAAATAATTAATTTAACATCAATTTTAATAAGTGATGTGTTAATTAACTTGTTTAGCGTCAGTTCAATCAAATTGATACAAATTTGTATTAGTTTGCATCACTTTAAAAAATTGATACAAAGATATGTATTTGCATCAATTAACAACCGATGTATTCACTTAATTTTATTAACATCACTTTTAAAAATGATACAAAATCTATATCAATAAAAAGTGATGCTAATAACTTTTTAAGTAATTGAATTTATTAAAAAACTAACAGGAAATTATTGTTATAGATGACGTGAAATTATTATTACCATAAATAAATACTTATACTGGTTTTATCATAATATTAATTAGTTCCTATTAATCCTCAAAATAAGCAAATTCATTTATTTTTTTTCGTTACCCACAATCCTTCTTTTACGCTCACGATCTTTTCTTCCTATTTTATTTCCAAAAAAAACGTTTTTTAGAATATCTTCAAATTAGTTTTCAAAATCCCATAACTCGATCTCATTCAATTCTCCACCTTCAAATACTTTCTTATTTTCTGTCATTCTACCTTTCTTTTTTTCTTCACCATAATATCACTCAGTTTTTTTGTTCTTCTATTTTCAGAAATCTGTCATGAACACTGCACTAATGATCATTAGGACTGTGTGTTTTCCTAAACAGTTTGGAGAAACATAAACTAAAGGTATTCCATCACTTTATGTTAAATAATTATTCTAGTTCCGATCAAAAATTTTTATAAATTTTTAAACAATTAATCTCTTTTTTATTTTGTAGAGCAAAAACTTAAGTGTGATGATGATTCAAGAGATCTCAAGTCATAACCAAAGTATGATCTTGATTCCACAAATGGAAGAGAGATGACATAGAAGAAGAATTGAAGTTTCCAAGAAGAAGATGTGTTTAAACGTACATGAAGAAACCAAAACTCAATTATACTTTTTTTTTTCGGTTAAAGATTTATTGTTCATGTGATACTTCACATGACCATGATATTTTATTGTTCACATGACCATGATAATACTTCACATTATTGTTCATGTGATATTTTATCAAATATTGCAATGAGCGATTTTAGGAGAAAATATTGACCCATGATTTGGTATATATTAAAAAAAAAAGTAACAAATCAAATAATAATTCGAAAATATATTAAAAATTAATTATTTTATTAATCTAATAATTATTATTCTGTAATATATTATTGAAATCAGTTAAATAAATTGATGTAAAAGTTAACATCATTTTTTAGCAATTGATATATATTGACATCGATTATAATAATCGATGTAAGTATTTTGAATATTAACATCAGTTGTTAATAAAATGATGCAAATTATTTGCATCAATAATATATAAATCATTTAGTTAAATGATGTAAAATTCTTTTACATCAATTATAAATAATACAAAAATTCAAAATAAATGATGCTAAATGATCTTTTTTTTGTAGTGAACTGTCCAGCCGTACGCTCCATGCTACGGACACTTTGCTTTCAGCTTCGACTTTTATGGTTCTTATTATAATAAATACCATGCGAATATCAAATCCAGAAATTTCCTAATATTTAATATCATGCGAATTTTGGATACCATACGTAAAAATAATAATAATCATCCAAGCAATTTAACAAATGAGTTTATGTCCTTGCACATCTAATACAAATCATTTAGACAATCTTACAAATCAATCTGATACTAAAAATTAGCAATAAATTTTTTTGATACTAAACCATATTGTTTGCTCGAAACTAACAAATCTCTAGCACTTAACCAGAGAGAGAGAGAGAGACACACAGGTCTCTAAATACCATCATTGGTCTATAAACACAATCTTGAAATCAAAATGTTTCACCACGTTGACGCTTTTGAACCCTAGCATGCACACTTTATCTTGTATTTATACTCATAACACAGAGACGGCCTTGATGAGTTTTCGAAAACTACAAGATTTTTTTTTTTTTTTTGCCATATTTTCATAATAAAATAAGAGAGAAGAAGCCGACTACGATTTAAGTTTTAATTTGGATTTTTTTTTGTTTCCTTCATTTTTTTTTTAATTTTTGTCGAATATATTCTAAAAAAAAAAAAATTGTGCATGGTGATATCTGAAAAGAGGCCACTTTAATTGTGCCTCAAGGCCTATGAAATATATCTATTAGTTCTGTAGTCAAGATTTCAGTCGGACTATAATAATAATAGCCAAGAGAGATTGTCAAGCCAGGATTTTATTATGTAGAGCAAGAGCAAAATATGAGAAAATTTAGTTGTTGGCTACAGATAGCTCCATGTCACTGACTTGAACAAACGACGAAGCCAGATTCTTATATATTGAGCCTTAAAGGTTAGTAATTAATTAAAAAAAAAACCATGATTTCCACTGCGAAAAATCTCAATTTATGAGTCTAGTATCATCGATTTCATAATGGAAATTTGTCAGGGAACATTCGTATGTTTTCGTCGAGTCAAATCTTTAGAAGTAAACGAGACTCTGAAAAATTGAAAAACCATCGTTGCTTCGGATACAAGAAATGTCCTCATGAAGTTAAGAGAAAAACCTACAGCTTCGACAGAGTTTTCAAACCTGATTCATTTCAAGGTAGGTGGCTTTGATCTTCTCTAAGAATTTTGTATTGCAAAGTCATTTCATACAGAATCTCACTAAGAAATCGGGAAAGCAATCATATGTTTTTAATCAACAATAGCATGCTTGAGATTTCTCATGATCACAGAGACTTGCTTGTTTGTCAAGCAACTAAACCCATTGATCCAGTACCTCCAAGGTAATAATACCCATTACATGTGTAGAGATCACCATTGACTATAAAGTTTATGAGTTATTCTCTCTCTATTTCAGTCTTTAACAGACACAAAGAAAGAGATAGATATTGAGAACTTAAGTGAATGATTTCAAAATTTTAATCAAGTCTACAGGCTATACAAATTATTTCTTGCGAAACAGAGCAACTGACTCCACTAACTCTAACTCTCTGGTAAGAAATTAAAATTTGGAATTCTTTTCTTAATTACATAATCTTCTTTGATGTTCTCATATATGGATGAAAATCATGAATTCTGATCCGTTTATCAATCATAAGTCTTGGAGCTCCTGAGAGACTGCGTGAAACAAACAAGATTTGGCTAGTGGTAATCTTGGAGGAGCTGAGCGGGTGTTGAAAACCAAAGCCACTGGTCGTCGTGTTAATAATGTCTCTTTATCTGCTCCTGGAGATGTCATCAACTGTGAAAGAGTCTCTCGATAACTAAGATCTTCTGAAAAATCTTAGTCTTAGCTGAAGGATGTTTTCTTTTCATCACTAAAATTTATTTCTAGATTTTTGAATTTTGAGGCCAATGCTCTAAAACATTGATATATGCTAGTTGAGCCTATGCACAATGAGAGGTATCTATGAGAGTATTCTGACCAAATTTAGACACAATTGAATGCATTTAAACTTAATCACTACAAGAAAAGCAGGTATTGATAGCAGTTGAAGATAGCGGTTTAGATGGTTATGCTATGTTTGATAATTGCCTCTTTCTTTCATAGCGTTTGTGAAATATAAAACGCTATAATATATTGAGCGGCAAAAGTTATGTGGTTCCCGCTTAAGAATTTGGTTATCCATCTCTCTATACAAAATTTGGAATGCTATGGTATGTTAACCGCGAAAATAAAAAAAAAGAAATTGATGCCCGCCCAACTAAAAAAAATTTGGGATAAAATTAGGGTTCACGTCTCTATCTCTTTCCCATTCGACACCTCTGTCTCTTTTCAATTTTTCTTTTTGGCAACTCTCAATCCCGATATAACCTCTCGATCCTCCATCTCTGTCCCGATTTCTCAATCAGACTCGTTACTCCATCTCTGTCTCGATCTCTCAATCATAGTCATGTTCCTCGCACTTTCATTCTCGATCTCAATCTATCTCCGTTTCGTTCCCTCTCAATCGTCATCTAAAGCGGTAAATCGAATTGGTGAGGTCGAATTTGACACTGAAGGTGAGATAGTGCTTGGGTTTTGGTTATTTTTTCACAGATTTAAGGTTTTAATTTCCATATTGGGTATTAATCCATCGATTATTTCTCTTTTTTGCAGTAAGAGCTCGGTGAGACTTCAGTTAAAGGTATTCGAGTTCAATTTCGGATTTTGATTTTAAGGCCTTGGTAAATAGTCGATCTATTCAGTGTAATCGGTTCCTAATTGATATATATTTGAGTGTTCTTGCAGCTGAATTTTGTACTTAGAAGAACTAATAGATATGTGAGATTTCGATTTTAAAAGTTTCTAATTCTTTTGTAGATAGTCTTCAAATCATCAAGATTACCGCTTGTTTATTTTGTAAGCTGTTATTTTCTTAGTTTTTGTTTGTTTACTTTCTTTCTCGTGTGTGTTGATGTGAGTAGGCTGTCATTGTTATTTGAGTGTTTGATCCTTTGAACTCTTTATCACAAATTGTATACTCGGTGGTGGAGATATGGTTGTATTGTTGTGATATGGACAAGGCATGTGTTTGAGAGAGCTAGTGTCCTTAAAGGTATCTCTAACCTCGTGTCTAAATATAAGTTAAGGTATGTATGTTATATCATCAATCAGTATACAATAACATATATAGTATCTTTTCTCTTTATCTTACAGGTTCTAAACGGCATGGAGAACTCAGATTTGTAGAGACACACAATAAGAGAAGAGAGTCCATGATCATTCAACTCTGCACATAATATCATATATGCATAATCAAGCTTGATGAATTACTTACTATGCTATCACATTTCTTAAATGCAGAGCTAAGAGAAGGAGAACAAGAAGATGTTGCATTTAAGCAGGTTGTTTCTTTATGCCTATAATTCATATTTGTAAGGTTATATTGTGACATTTATAAGAGATAGTAAACGATTGGTATAATGTGGTTGGTATAAACGATTGATCGCATTGTATATTGATGAACTGATGTTATTTGGTTATAAATGCAGGCAAGGCTTATGTACTTCTGGGGTAGAGCCAAGTTGCACGGTGAGGAAGAAGATATTTGAGATGAACGTTTGCAGTTTTGGATCAGCCATAGTGAAGAGAAAACTAGGAGTAGGCAACAATTATGGGAAGCTTGTCGCAAAGAAACCGATCACCTCTTATTCCATCCTCTTCTCCTACCACTACTCTTTCTATTCACAACCTCAACTCCAAATTTATTGATTTCAATAGCGTTCTATTTTGTGTAACCGAAAAAAAAAAATCAACACAATTGTAACATCTCAAGTATTATTAATCCCAAAAAAAGAGAGCTAAAAATCTAACCATTTCTGGAAATAACACTTAACGATAAACTACAAACTCTTGTTCGTCCGAAACTGTTTAGGATTCCAAATCATGCACTTATAATCAACTCATGTACTTATTAAAAACTTTATATTTGTAATTAGTCATGGTTTTAATTCCACAAGACATTTTCAATGACATGCTAATATTTTAAACTACAAATAAAACTAATGATACGAAACATAAAATTAAAATATATATACAAGTAACAATCGAATAAAACAATAAACTAGTGTATCATGTAATCAAAAAATAAAATTATATAAATGTCTCATAGTTTCATAACTCGTAAATAAAATTTAAGTGAAATCTTTTAATGTTTTTTTTGCATTTTATTTTGTTGATTGAAAAATAGTGAAATGTGTTTCAAGATTGAACCCTATACCCTATACCCTAAACCTTTTAGGGTATTGGATCTAGGGTTTAGGATTAAATCTTGAAACATATTTCATTGTTTATAACTTAACAAAATAAAATGCTATTAAAAGAATTTAACAATAATAATAACATACAAGAGGAATAAAGAGAATATTACAAATTTACAAATTAATTATAAAATCGATTAGTTTGTAACTATTCTTTCATCAAATAGTTTACATTGTGCTTTATGGTTTCAATTTTAAAACGTTTTAAGTCTAAAATTAAATCTTTGTTAAAAAAATATTATGATCATAATATCATTATTATAACACATTTTCCATTTCATAATAATATTTTAAAACATTTTCAATTAAGAAAAAGAGATTAAAAATGGTATTAAGAACACATAAGACGACAGCCAATGGGAAGAGATCAATCGGATAGCTGAGGTGGCATATTCTCTCACCACAGGATCAAATTATTTGCTTTACATCTCACCGTTCTTCCCTTAATTACGAGTTTCGACAATTACTCTGTTCTTCCCTTAACCTCTCCGTATTCCCTTAATTACTTCTATCCCTTACCTTTCTCGATGACGAAAGAACCCACTCAACTCCAATCTTCCTCTCTGACGATGGGAAACCAACTCAACTCACCTTTCTCTCTGATTATGTCAAAGCTTTTAAGGGTTTCTGTTAACCTTTTTTTTTTCTCTATAACACCTTCTTCTTACCGTACAAGGTTGTCCAACACCTTCGCATAGAAATTACGGTAACCTTTTGCATCTCTTCTTCTTGTACGGTAACCTTTTGCATCTCAAACCTTTGACGATTTTTTAAGGGTTTCTGATTTGCTATAGATTTCTGTATTTTTTTGTTAAGTAACGATTTGTTACTGCAGATAGAGGAGATCTGTAGCCACCGAGATGGAGACGCTAGCTCTTTTTTTCCATCACGGTAATTTCTTTGGTTCTAAGTTTTCATATCTAGTTATATTCTCTTTGAAATTTATTTATCTGGAATTGATTTTATGTTTTATTCAATCTAATTCAGGCGAAAATTGCAGGTGGAGATCTACAGTGAGCGAGCGAGATGGGACACACATTGCTGTTCGTATTTGGGTATTGACTCGAACCAAAAAAATTTCAATTTTCGTTGCATGATGGAACACGTTGTCCATTAGTTCTCGATGTTGATGTTCTTATTTGTGTTTCGTTGCTTTCTGTAACTACTTTGGTAAGGGAGGAGGCTTGATGATAGAAGAAGAAGTTTGAGAGTTACGTTGGGTTTTTATCTTTTTGTTTTATCGACATGGGCTCTTGGGCCTCTTGTTATGTATATAAGAAGAAGTTTCAGTAGTAGAAGACTAGAAGGATTGTCTTGTATCATTATTTTCTTAAATAAAAGTATAACTAGATCCTGACCCGCACGTACGTGCGGGGTGAAATTGCTTAAATCAATTTCTTACATCGTTTTTTGTAATATATTATATACTCTTTTGGGTTTGTTAGTATTCGAATAGGATATATATAGTAGATGGAGTATATTTGTTTGTTAATTTTAAAAATTTTGCGATGTTTTATTTCGAACGTTTATATGTGTTTTATGGGATAACCAAAAATTGTTTTAGTTAACAAAAGAGAATTTGTATATTTTCATAAGGAATATGTGTAATAGGGGAAACTATAGTGCCCTATTGTAATAAACTAAAAATGTAATAATTGTATAATAACATTATGTTGAATTCAAATTAGTGTTTATTTAATTTTAGTATAAATTTTGAAAGCCATGAAAACAATATGTTAGTTGACAGGCCACACTTCTTTTTACGAAGAACACTCAAATGGGCTTAATGACATATTCATATAGGCCCATTATTAACAGTCCTGAATCCATTTAGTATTTTTGTTTGTTTAATTCGTTATTTATCTTAATACATGTTATTAATGTAATATTTGGATTGTGCCATGTAATATTTGGACAGATATTTTTTGTTAGGAATTTCGTTTTCTTTATTTCCCCAAAAAAGAAATGCACCGAACAAAACGATGAACATCTCACGAATTCCAGAAGCATTTGCGAGATTTCTCATAGAAAATTCAGTACTTTGTCTCCTTTCATACTTCTACTTGTTCAATTCTTGAATCCTGTGTATAGGTAAGCCTAATATTGAATCAGATTTATAGTTTTACAGATTTTGTATATGTCGATTGAATTTGCAATCTTTGAAATTTTCAGTTTTAATAGTATAAATTCGCCACGGATTCGCAAGTAAGCGGATCTTATATGTGTAATTATTCTCAATAAGCTATTTTAAAATTTAGGTATTTTCTTAAGTTGAACCGTTAATCTCGAGTATACAGAGCACTATTTTGTTTGAAATTTACGTAATTGAGTAGATTTTGTACTAACTGTAATCTGATTTGTTTTTTTTTTGTCTATTTAGGTGATATATGAGTTGCGAGTAAATGAAGACTATGGAGGATAATATGTGATTTTGTCACTGTAGTTTTCTGAAATTAAGCTGTTAAAGGTTAGTGAGATGTCAACTTTTAAAGTTTTGTTTTATAGATTTGCTGATTTAGATACTCTTTTTGAGCTAATGTTAAGAGGCTATATATATATATATAGCACATTGATTTACTCTATGAAAACTTCTGTGTATATGTTATTCAGATGAAGGCTGTTTTGGGAGTCACATGAGACTTTGGAAGAGCTGCAGAGATTTTGTCATCGTAGCTATTTTGGAATCTTTATTTTTCAGGTTAGTGAGATCTCAATTTATATAAAAGCTTTCGTTTCTTACATTTACTACTGTTTCTTACTACACGATCTAGTAGATAATATATATAACATAGTTTTAATTTTGTTTCATAAGTATTTTTAAAGTTTAAATTGTTTATAACAAAATTAAATGTTTTAAGGTGGAGGTTCCTTTGCAAGTATGATATGAATATGGAGAAGGGAAGAGAAATGTTGGCATTGGAGATATCCAGAAAAATAAGAGTAACAGGTTAGTGTTTATATTCGTAATAGCCTTAGCATGTTAAATTGATAGTAGTATATAATAGATGAAAACTACTTTACGTTTTGAAAAATTGTTTGATATTAAGTTTTTACGTTTTGAAAAGTTGTTTGATATTAAGTTTTAACCTTTACTGCTACTGAGCCTGAAAAAGTTGACATAATATTACTTAAGCAAACCTGTTACTTTGGTTATACAAAGTAATTATGTTTTTTATATAAGGTATGAAGTTCTGTAGAAAAGAAATGAGTACACTATCAACTTTATTCTTGAAGTTGATAAAGTTTATTGAATGTAGGCAAGAAAAAGAAAAAACGTTGCTTTTCTTCAAATATCTTATTTGAAAAACTCTGTTCTTCAGAAAAACATGGTCGGTCCCTGTAAATCATAAAGCAAAAAAAATAATGTTAGTAAAAGTCAATTGTAAATAACCAAAATTAGATGACAGAGGTAATATTTAATGATACCTCTATCCTTCTGAGCTAAACCGCATATCTTTAAAGGTTTTGAAACACTTCTTTGAATACCACATTTATCGTCTGATTTTGTGGTTTCCCTGCTTTGTTCACAAAGAACACTTTTAATCCTTTCTTAGAATTACCTTCGAGACTGCAACATAGAGCAGTTCATGTGAAAAACATGGCCTAGGTAGATAAAGGCCAATGTTAAACAAAGGTTATTAGAGACATATAGGTGTATAGGTGTAGTAAGCAAAACAATAATACTTTTTGAAAAGTTAGACGTTAGCAAGTGAATAATACTTACGGAAACATTAGCAGGAGTCATGTCCATTGTCTCTCCTGTGTATTGAGGATATCGAGTAAGGAGTGAACGATTTTCACTTAGATTTTCCAACCTGTTTTGAAAGGTTTCACGTTAGCAAGTTCAATGATAAGAAGATTATCATCCATTTTTTAAAACGATAAAATAAGATGAAATTGAAGTAAAGCTTTGAATGATTGTGAGTTCTGAAAGGTGTAATCGAGTTTACTATATATATATACTAATAGTCGATACAGCTCTCATTTTTAGGGTTTATCCTTGTAAACATGAAAATATATTTGCGTATTAGGATTTGAAAAATCTGTAATCGAATATGCTTGATTTGATAGGATTAGAATATTTCGTAATTTTCAAATTAGGTAAATATAATAACTGAGATTAGATCTTATTGAAAACAGTTATATTGCAATTGGATTTGTTCCTTATATTCAGTGTTCAAGAAAGCGCTAGACGCTAAGCGGGCGGTAACCCAGTGCCTAGCGCCTAGAATGCCTAATCGGGGCCTAGGCGATTTTTTAGGCGGTTTAGGCGTTTATAACATAAATCATTATAAATATGATATTATATATAAAAGTTATATAAAATATCTATATAAAACTAAAAATTATGAAATTATAAATTAAAACTAGATAAAACATTTATTTATATTTATATTAAACAATGTATGAATATTTATAACTATATATATATAAATAAAACTCTAATTGAAATTGAAAAAATACATTAAACAAGATCTATGTAATTTTAGGCGGTCAAGGCGGTTATCTAGGCGTCACATGAGAGCCTAGCGCCTAGTCGGGGCCTAGGCGACCGCCTAGACCGCTTTTTAGAACACTGCTTATATTACGTGATTTATTTTGCATCTTTCTTAAAATCAGTAGAGTGAATATATATTGATTTATTTATTTGTGTTGCTTGCCTAATCTGCGATTATTATGATAGAATTAAGTGATTAGATTTGTTAGTTATATAGATTATAGAAATCTCTTTAAATCTGAACTGATATTTTTGGCAATTATTTTCTGTAACAGATACAGAGAATATGGAGTGAAATAATTCCGTTTAAACATTTATCGACAGGAAACGGGTCGAATTAAGGATCCGAGTCAATGACCGTATCAGGCTGCATAGGATCCGCGTGTTATCCGAAATAATAACCCAGGATCCGCTTTCTGTAACTCATTAAATTGTCTTATTTAACCTTAAACGAAATTTTTAATTTACTCTTTGAATGGAAAAAAGCCAATGGCATTCCCTTGTAATTTTTTATACTTTATAAGGTTTATTATTAAGGAATGCTTCCCAATTAATAATATAGATTAACATTGTTATATGTTTCCTAACTAAAATAACAAAAACGATTCAAAATTTTAATATAAATAAAATTGGACAAAAACAATAATCTGGTAAATGACAAATTTTTAAAATTTATTTTTCTGTACCTTACATGAATCAATTGCATATTTTCACCGTTATTATAGGAAATATAACTGTTATAGATAATACAAGAATTATAACATTTATACCGAGTGCAATAAAAAAGTTACAAAACATGCTATTGATAAAATAGTTTATAGCAAAATATATGTGCTATTGTATTAATAACAATCGCATAGGTAAAAGCGCTATTATTTATCTAAAAACGATAGCAAAGCGAAAAAGTGCTATCTAAAGTGACAGACCTATTATCGCGGGCGATGACATAGCGTTTTCTATAACGCTATTGTATCTTTACATAGCGTTTTTCTGTTGTTATTAATACTCTATTTTCTTGTAGTGAATATACCGTTCCTCCATGGTGTTTTTAGCAACAAAATCCAAAACAATATAAACGAAAAAACCAAATAGAAGAGAAAAAAAACAGAGTCATAACAACGGTTGGAAATGAAAAAGAGGCGTTACTACACCTCTTCTAAATCAATACTTGTCTAATTTGCTTCAGCGATCAAAGAGTTGACCTCATGGAAAAACCTTGTCTTGAGCCACAAATATTCATATTCCTTTTCTTTGAGCAACTTGAACTTCTCTTCGAGCTCCTTCTTCATCTTCATCGATACCATGCTCCATCTCTGTTTCACGACCTCTTCAGCCACCCCAAAGCTCGCAATTGATCCTACAAGAGCAGAATTTAGGAACCAATCTACTACCTTTTCTTCATTGGGTTTCAAAGACTCCTCCTTCACCTTAGTAGATTCCCAAATCACTTTGGAAAGTTGAAAACATTTCAGGTCGTGAGCCTTTGCAAAAGAATTCTCATCTGCACCCTTGTTCCTCTTTCGGAGATACTTGTCTTTTAAGCGACGGATCTTGGTAGTGAATTGACTCTGATTCGCTTGAAAACTAATGATGTTCTTCACCGTATCAATAAAAGCAGTCATATCATCATAAGGACTCTTCCCTTTATCATTTTTGAAATCAACCATGCCTTGCAGCAAGACGATTTCATCATCTTCACTCCACTTCCTTTGGAAATAATTCTTTTTGGTACCAGGATCTTTTTGCTCTTCTTCCTCAGATGAAGAACGTGACTCCTTACCTTCTTCCTCTGTCGCCATTTCCTCGTCGTCGCCGGAAGATTCTGTCGTCGGTGGATTTTCCAACGGTTGTGGACTCCTCTTCTTCGTCGGTGGATCTCCCAACAGTTGCAGACACCTCTTCACCGTCGATGGATCTTCCTCCGGTTTGAGACGCTTGTTCTCCGGTTCGGAAAGCTTGTTCTCCGGTTGTGAACGCTTCTTCTTCTTGGCCATCGAACTTTTGAGAGAGCGGGAGGCCAAAAGTTTTGTTATTCCTCTCATTTTTTTTTGTCAAGATAAAAAGAGTTAAGGGTTGTAATAAAGGTATATTTATAATTTAATTAAATTGAAAGAGAGTCTCGTCTCTGTTTACGAAGCGAGAACAAGAGTTTGCATGAATGTCTTAAGGAGGTGATGCGATTTCTAACTATTTGTTTGACTTGTGTAGTTTAGAAGCACATGATTGCATATTCAGTTTACATCTTTTTTCAAATAGACTAATCTAAGCATTGCTTGATTTATTTGTGAATATAGTTCAAGCTAACATAACAATATTTACTGGAATATATATATATATATATATATATATATATATATATATATATATATATATACTCTGTTTTTCGAGGCATTTCTAAATCATGTTTAATACTTCACGACTCCACCAACTTAAGTACTTAACTAATAACTCTTCAGCTTTTGTGTCATTAAGCCAAATACACATATGTCTATAATAACAAATGAACAATGACATCACGACAGCAGAAATGAAAAAATAGAACAACTCTTCAACAACATCTTTATCCCCTTATGTGTCTTCTTTTCTCTTCTCTTCGTGTTCTGCTTGATCGAGAACGGAGTCGGTAAGGTTGCAACTACAATAGACTTCTTCCACGAAAATTTGCAGTCAGGACTGCCAAAACGTTTCCTCAATGTCTTCTGGATCGGTCTTGAAATTATGCACATGAAGGCGAGCACAAGAACATATCTTATCAGAAGGTTGGCCTTGTCATTAGGTATCCTCTCATACTTCTTCGGGACATGATCCTTGAACAAGCTCAAACATTTCTGACGAATGATTCCTTGAAACTTATTGCCTTTAGCTGAATCAAGACCATCTGTTGAGTTCATGTCCTTGGATTTAACCAGATGAGTGAGGAGCGATAAGGCAAAAAGCGTCTGCTTTTCGGAATCGTCCAATGCATAAAGAATCTGAGCTATAGATGAAACTATGACGATCAGATTAACTAGCTAGATAAAAGCAAAAAATCTCTTTGATTAGAGCAAACAAATACGAAAAGGCAAAAGTGGTGCAAGCCAACATGATATATATCGCATGTTAAAGTCCACCAATGTATATTATACTATAAACGAATCAAATTTAACCTTGATATCCTCGCAATTTGTGAAATCTGTTGCAAACAAATACAAGGTAAGCATTGGTTGCTGCTAGAGATTTCTGTTGAGTAGGCAGTAAATATCTTGAAGTAAGTCTCATTCTTCTTATTCGATTATTTTATCTAAATAGATAAGCTTCCCGAGTAGTAGTTGCAGAGCACCTCCGTTAATAGCCGTAGACACATTATCATTGAAACATAGAATCATGTCTACTTATCTCAAGATAATCAGTACCGATCTTATAGCTACTAGTTAGATGCATGTAAGGGATTAAACTAATGCTAAGAATATATCAGCTTTAGATATACAACGGAAACAAGCTAGGAATATATATACCTGACTAAGTTTGGTTAGTCGTTCTCCTGAATCTTCTGTTTCTTGAATATTAAGCCTTGGCTCTAATCTGATGATTGGCAAGTAAAACCCACAACAACTCAGAACTTGCTATCTAGATTCTTTAACACAAACCAAGTGATTAGTTGTATTTGGTTTGTGTTAAAGAGCAGAGTAGGATTGGAGCCAAAGCTTAAAGAAATTCAAGAAACAGAATGTGCAGGCAGGGAGTGTGAGCCATCTTATTTGACGGATTCGGTCCTCTCTATCCATAAGCGAAGATACTTTGGTATAAAATAAAAATATATAAATGAAAGAAGCAAAATCATATATAGTTTATAGTCAATTCATCAAGTCATTCAGATAAACATTGTATTATTGTTTTCGTTAGAAAAGTAGTAACCAAGAATGTTTTTAAAACATGGTCAAACCTATTAACTTGTATTTGACGTCCTTGTCATAATCATAGTTCTATCGCTAATGGTCGTTTAATATAAGCGATTGGATTGCATCAGATGTATTATCTTTATCATTATGAATATTTTATACAAAGTGGAAGAAAAGAAACACGTATGAGACAACTGGCTCATGTCATCAATATGTCATATACGGTTCGATTAACCAACTTTGTTCTAACCCGGTTCCACCAAATCAGCAGTTTCAGATTTAAATTCGGACATTTTTACACTTGGTCACCTAATTCTTTAGTTTAATACTAATGATTAACGAGTAAACAACGACTAATGATAAAATGGCCAAGGCTTTCCGACACACTTTTTTGTTTTATTGGATAACTAAATACAGAAAAAGCTTTTTTACCCACATGGCGATTGTTATTATTTTAAAAAAACAAATCAGGCTGTTAAATTCTAAAGTTAAAACCATATAATATACATTTATTTATACGCATAACAAGAACAAAAATGGCTAGTTGCTTTGCTCTGGATCCCTCCAACTCTCTCACGTCGACGATGCCGAGATTAAGACAGTCCCTAATTCTCTCCTTCGCTGTTTGGTTTGTGTTCACGTCTGGTTTATTTCATGTGGTTCGACCACAGAACCGAACCAGAGCCACTACTGATCCTGACGAAGGTTCTCCAAACTTGCTAAAGATTCGTTTTAGATCATCATCATCGACCCATTTTTGGCAAATTTTCTTACTTTCATTTTCAAAAGAAAAAAAAAAAATTCTTCTTATAGTTCGAAAGAGACGATGATGATGACTTATATAAATATATCGTTTTTTTTTTTTTTTGTTGGAATCAGAAGAATAAATTGAATTAATCTTTTTTTTATTTTTTTGGTCAAAAATTAATCTTAGCTTTGAATTTTTTGAAAATTGGAAATGATTTTGCAGCTCGGGCGTTGAACAACATCTTCAGGGCGTGGAAGATAACGGCGACGAAAGCATGGAACATAAGCGGCGAACTATGCAGCGGAGCCGCCATAGACGACAGTGTCAGCATCGACAATTTAGCTTTCAATCCTCTCATCAAATGCGACTGCTCTTTTGTCGATTCCTCTATCTGCCGCATCGTTGCTCTGTACGTTTCTTTTACTCTCTCTCTTCGCTGTCCTCCACCTGTTCGACGCATTGTCTCACCCACAATGAAATTCGAATTCTTGTGTGTCACAGGAGAGCTCGTGGTATGGATGTTGCTGGACCAATTCCTGAAGACCTCTGGACTCTTGTTTACATCTCAAATCTGTATGATTCTTCACTTACCAAGCATTTGCATTTGGAACACACACACACTCACTCGATTTTCCATTTTTTGTAGGAACCTAAATCAGAATTTCTTGACTGGTCCTCTGTCTCCTGGCATTGGAAATCTGACTCGAATGCAGTGGATGTTAGGCGTTGAACCCTTTAATCTTATTCCCATACAAGCTTGTAGACTGTATGCTTTTGTGACTATTCTCTTTTAACACAGGACTTTTGGGGCTAATGCATTGTCCGGACCAGTTCCCAAAGAAATTGGACTGCTTACTGATTTAAGATCATTGTAAGGACTTCGAGGATTTGATCACATTTTCAACTGGCTCGTTAGTTTTCGCAGATAGATTCTAATGATTATTCCTTTTTTTGAGTTCAGAGCGATTGATATGAATAATTTCTCCGGTTCTCTACCACCTGAGATTGGAAATTGCACGAGGCTAGTGAAAATGTAAGTGTATGCAATGCTTTGTTCATCATGGTCCTTCCTACGAAGCTCCAAAACTGTGGTTACATTTAGTATTATTTGCATCAAACACTCCATCACAGCCTCACTTCTCTTAGAATGTCTTACAAATAGACCAAATGTCCATACACTGAAGTACTTCCGAGATGCATTAAGTTCATTGATTCTCATATTTATGACAGGTACATTGGAAGTTCAGGACTTAGTGGTGAAATTCCTTCATCATTTGCTAATTTTGTGAACTTGGAAGACGCGTAAGAGTTGTATTTTATTATAATGTTGTGGGTTGTTATTGTATCTGGCTACTCATTTAGAAACACAACGCATACTCCTATTTGTTCATAAGTTTTGGATTGACTTTTTTTTTTTTTTTTTTTCATTTCGTTTCAGCTGGATTAATGATATCCAACTTACAGGTCAGATACCAGACTTTATAGGAAATTGGACCAAACTTACTACTCTGTGAGAAATTTCATATTGCAGCTCTTCAATTATTCATTCAATCTTTATTTCTTTCTTTTACGCTTTCGCTTATCAACGTATAGAGTGACGGTTAATAATCAACACTTGATGGTATACCACACTATATATTGAAACATACTTTACTGCAGGAGAATTCTGGGGACTAATTTGAGTGGTCCAATTCCATCTACATTTGTGAACTTAATTTCATTGACAGAATTGTAAGTGCTGGATATATGTTCTTTTATCCTTCACTTTTTCACTTGCTCTTTGTCTCGATACTGACTGAAATCCAAAATGCAGGAGACTAGGTGAAATAAGTAATATCAATTCTTCTCTTCAGTTCATTCGAGAAATGAAATCTATAAGTGTCCTGTAAGGAATTCTGTTCAGCTTTTGCCTAATCTTGATGAACTCCTTTAGCTGTTCCCTTTCCTCTATATTTTTGACATTTTTCAAATATCATGCAGAGTATTAAGGAACAATAATCTCACAGGCACAATACCTTCCAATATTGGAGATTACTTGTGGCTACGACAACTGTAAGTATGAGACAAGATGATACAAAATTTTGTTCCAGATCTTAAGATGCTCCAAAAAGTTATCCTATGTCTTCTTTGTTACTAAACTGAGATGATATACTTTCTAAAATAAAGCACCTAGGGCTTTAATAATTACAAGCAATACTCTTTATTTGTTCTCCAGTGATTTGAGTTTCAACAAGCTAACTGGGCAAATTCCAGCTCCGCTTTTCAACTCAAGACAGCTTACTCACTTGTAAGAATATATTTATTTTTCCCATGACATGCTCTTATTCAAGATTCGCAGATTAAGTGAACAGAATTAGCATTACCTTCATTCAGGTTTCTTGGAAATAACAAGCTGAATGGTTCCTTACCCACTCAAAAGAGTCCCTCTCTTAGCAATATGTGAGTAACAAATATATGTAGTGGAATGTTTCTCCCCCTGGGTAATATGTATTGAAAACTTGTCAATACAGTTCAAAGGAATGCTTTTCCCTCTGGGTAATATGTATTGAAAACCTGTCAATATAATTCAAAGTGCTTTATCTGCAGAGATGTGTCATACAATGACTTAGCAGGGGATCTTCCTTCTTGGGTTCGCCTACCAAACTTGCAACTGTAAGTTCGAGAACTATGTGCTTAAATTTCATGGTACATAATACATTGTTTTTGCTGATAAAAAGTTTTCTTTTGTGTTTGTATTATTCTGCAGTAACCTGATTGCCAACCACTTTACCGTTGGAGGTTCTAACAGAAGGTGACTTTGTGAATCTTTTGCGCTTCTTGGCGCCTGAAGTTCTACGTTATTTCTATTTTACAAGCATACAACTGTTAGTCTACATGCCATATTCCTCATTTTAGTACTTTTTGTTTTTTTTTCTCTATAAGGGCTTTCCGCGGACTGGACTGCCTCCAGAAGAATTTCCGCTGCAATCGAGGGAAAGGAGTATGTAAGTGCATCTAAATGCTGTTTTGAAAGTCATTTCATTTTTAGCATTTCGAATATTAGGATGCATATATTACACAACATGTTGGTTAAGATGCTTCTCTTTTAATGGTTATCCAGATTTCAACTTTTTCGTCAATTGTGGAGGCCCGGATATCAGGTCTAGTAGTGGAGCTTTGTATGAAAAGGATGAGGGGGCACTTGGACCAGCTACATTTTTCGTAAGTAAAACGCAGAGATGGGCAGTCAGCAATGTAGGACTATTTACTGGGAGTAACAGCAATCAATACATATTTGTTTCGCCTACACGATTTGCAAACACTTCAGACTCAGAGCTTTTCCAATCAGCGAGACTCTCTGCATCTTCTTTAAGGTATTACGGACTGGGGCTAGAAAATGGAGGCTATAGTGTAACAGTTCAGTTTGGTGAGATACAAATACAAGGTTCTAATTCCTGGAAAAGTCTTGGAAGGCGAATTTTCGACATATATGTCCAGGTCTCTACTATTAGATTGAGCTTCTGCCCATATTCTTACAAACATTAATTTCGTCTTTTCTGTGAATTAGTTATTTTGTTTTTGTGGAGTTAGATAATTATCATACTGTCATCTCAAGTAATCATAATATGAAATATGTCTGTACTCTGTAGTAACTTTTTTAAACCAGGGAGAGAAGATCCTTGATAAGCCTTGGCATACAAGAGATCCTTTTCTATTAGAGTATCTAGTACAAGATGTAGCACAGATTTCGTTCTAGTGGGGGTGAAAATTTAAGATGCAACGTTTTTAAGGCTCAACTCTTCATGAACTATATTCTTCTCTCAGAAATGGTTTCTGACCTCTGAGTTTCTTTTGTTTTTCAGGGAAAACTTGTTGAAAAGGATTTTGATATGCACAGAACTGCTAACGGTTCTAGTATCCGCGTAATTCAAAGAGTCTATAAAGCAAATGTATCTGAAAATTACCTTGAAATTCATCTTTTCTGGGCTGGAAAAGGGACCTGCTGTATTCCTGCTCAAGGCACTTACGGGCCTTTAGTCTCAGCGATCAGTGCAACTCCAGGTATACACCAGAAAATTTCATGATCTTCGTAGAGTCCAATGTCTCTTCTAACTAGTAGCTTTTCTTCTCTGCAGATTTCATACCTACTGTAAAAAATAAGTTGCCCTCGAAATCCAAGAAAAAAATTGGTATCATTGTAGGGGCCATTGTAGGGGCAGGAATGTTAAGTATCTTGGTGATTGCTATCATCTTATTCATCCGTAGGAAAAGGAAAAGGGCGGCTGATGAAGAAGGTAAATAGAAAGCCTTAGCTGTGGCAGTATTATTTAAGTCTAATCGTGAACAACTGTAACCTTCTTACTGGTTCTTATCAACTAATTACTCTTATGCAGTGCTAAACAGTCTGCACATAAGGCCCTACACCTTTAGTTACTCAGAACTCAGAACTGCAACTCAAGATTTTGATCCTTCCAACAAGCTTGGGGAGGGAGGATTCGGACCTGTTTTTAAGGTAAGACCCTACACAGAATGTGATGAAACACCAATATGGGGAGTGTAGCGTACTAGAAGGTTATGTAAATATTTCCATTAGTCATATTCTAAAAATATCCTTTGGTACAGGGAAAACTGAACGACGGAAGAGAGGTAGCCGTGAAGCAATTGTCAGTTGCATCCAGGCAAGGAAAGGGTCAATTTGTTGCGGAGATTGCCACTATATCAGCTGTTCAGCATCGCAACCTTGTAAAATTGTATGGATGCTGCATTGAGGGAAATCAGCGCATGCTTGTATATGAATACCTCTCAAACAACAGTCTAGATCAAGCTCTATTCGGTAAGCTCATGAGATCTTACATGTGTTATGCTTGTGAAAAAAACCCACTGCTGTTAGCTTACACGTTGCATGATTGTGGCAGAGGAAAAGAGTTTGCAGCTTGGCTGGTCAGACCGTTTCGAGATATGCTTGGGAGTAGCAAAAGGTTTAGCATATATGCATGAGGAGTCAAATCCCCGTATAGTGCATAGGGATGTGAAGGCAAGCAATATTCTGCTGGACTCGGATCTGGTCCCAAAACTCTCGGATTTTGGGTTGGCCAAACTATATGATGATAAGAAGACGCACATAAGTACCCGAGTTGCAGGGACGATGTAATATCCTGAAAACCTCACATTGGATGTGGTTTGTCAAATAGGTTAAAACTAACAGTTGTTGAATGTTACATTGCAGCGGATATCTGTCACCAGAGTACGTGATGCTTGGACATCTGACGGAGAAGACGGATGTGTTTGCCTTTGGTATAGTGGCTCTGGAAGTTGTCAGCGGAAGGCCTAACTCCTCTCCAGAATTGGATGATGACAAACAATACCTTCTCGAATGGGTATATATCTAAATTTTCCTACAAAAACAGCTTCATTTGTTTCCACTTTTGGTGAATAATTTGAGTCTTTGGGTTGTGCAGGCATGGAGCCTACACCAAGAGAAGCGTGATTTGGAACTAGTGGATCCGGATCTAACAGAATTTGACGAGGAAGAAGTGAAACGTGTAATAGGAGTAGCGTTCTTGTGCACACAAACAGATCATGCAATACGGCCAACTATGTCCCGAGTGGTAGGTATGTTGACCGGGGATGTGGAGGTAACCGAAGCCAATGCGAAGCCAGGCTATGTCTCTGAGAGAACATTTGAGAATGCAATGAGCTTCATGAGTGGTTCAACGAGCTCGAGCTGGATATTGCCTGAAACTCCAAAGGATTCTTCCAAGTCCCAAGTTGAAGAACATGGACGACGACATGAAACTTGAAAACTTGTGGTTTTTCTATTTTTTGTTCATACATTATAAAGAAAAAAAGTCAATATTGTTGGTAAATAAAACATTCGCTTGCAAAACATATTTGTTTGACCAAATTAGATTTGACTGTTTCTCCTGAAAGTTGTGTTATGGTCCCATTTTAAACATTAAAAGCCCTTAAGACCATCATTGGCATTTAGTGTCCAAGGTCCAAAGGTGCTGATGCTTGCCCTCGTAGCAGCAGCCGCCATTGTTGAAATCTCCGTTGACACTGCAGCGCAATCTCGGTCCAAGCGCGTGCACTCCACCTGCTTCTGGACCCGGCGCGTGAGACGCACTGCTTCGCGTTGAGATTAGTGGTTAGACCATTAATTAAATTCGAATTAAGCAAAATGAAAAATCTCTCTTCAAAGTCCAACATAAACACCATTTTTGAACCAAATCAAAACCTCCTCCGTCTAGTTTTGGCGGCTCTCTCTTTCTCACATCATCTTCTTCTCCGTTTAATTTTAGTTGCCGACGATGCTCAAGCTACGGCGGTATCTGTGTCTACTCCTCACCGTCTGGTTCTTGTGTAATTCCGGTTCGGTTTACGTGGTTCGAGCCCAAAATCGAACCGTAGCCACCACACATCCCGACGAAGGTCTGTCTTCTTCTTCTTCTTTGAACACTTGACAAGTTCAAATTCATTCGATCGGATTAAAGACTGTAGCTAGGTCTTAAGCTACTCTTCTGATTCTAATTGATAAAACCGATGTATCCATATAATAATATTATTGTTTTATCCTAAGAAATTTACCGGTTTAGTTTCAATTGACATTTGGTTTAGTTAAAATCGTAATTAGTTAAGAGGTAATAATAATTGACCGTTGTGAATAAAAAACAGCGCGAGCTTTGAACTCAATTTTCGCGGCTTGGAGGATTCGGGCGCCGAGGGAATGGAACATCAGTGGCGAACTTTGCTCCGGCGCCGCCATCGACCCAAGTGTCCAAGACTCAAACCCTGCCTACAATCCTCTCATCAAATGCGACTGTAGTTTCGAAAACTCCACAATCTGCCGCATTACCAACATGTACGCCTCTTTTCCCTCTTTTTGTGCACCCCATGTGTTCGACGTATTCTCCCACTGGGAATTGACTTTTTATCTGTTTTGTGGGTGAAACGAAACGAATGGTTTTCAATATCATTTTGAGTCTCGAATTCATTTTGGATGTTGTTGTTTTCACAGCAAGGTTTATGCAATGGAAGTTGTAGGACCTATACCACAACAGCTCTGGACCTTGGAATACCTCACAAATCTGTATGGTTTTATTATCACTTGATTATTTATATAGACTAGCTACAAAAAGAGTACACAGTTTCACAAATCAAAACCACTTCTTTTAGGAACTTGGGTCAAAATGTTCTCACTGGCTCACTGCCTCCTGCAATTGGAAATTTGACTCGAATGCAATGGATGTAAGTCTCTGACACCTTCTATGTCTTATTGTGTGTGGTTAATTTCACCTTCACTTGATAATGCACCCTTTTAGGAACATTTCTTGTTTCTCACGCTCAATTGTTTATCACGTAGGACTTTTGGGATCAATGCGTTGTCTGGCCCTGTTCCTAAAGAAATCGGTTTGCTTACAGATTTAAGATTACTGTAAGCTTAGGATATTTCTTAATTGGCTAAATATGATTGTGTGCTACTGGTGGATTCTGACGGTTCCTTATACCTATATATATCTGCAGTAGTATTAGTTCAAATAACTTTTCCGGTTCTATACCAGATGAGATTGGGAGATGTACAAAACTACAACAGATGTGAGTGTATCTCTCAAATCTATAAGTGTTTATGTCTTTTTATCCTTGGCTATAATTTAGATGATGACATATTAACCTTCGAAATCATTTAGCGTTCACCGACCACAAAAGTCTTGCGCAGTTAATTATTTTTAAGAATTTCTTACATTTAATGCAGATACATAGATAGTTCGGGTCTCAGCGGGAGAATACCTGTATCATTTGCTAATCTTGTGAAGCTGGAACAAGCGTAAGATATATTGAATTTGAATATAAGCTTTATCTTTCAACTTTAGTTGCATCTATTTTTTGTAATCTATTTATTACTTTACATTTTAGTTTTTTGCCTTGATGTGTTTGCTTCCTTAATGTGGTACCAGTTGGATTGCGGATATGGAACTTACAGGTCAGATACCAGACTTTATAGGAGATTGGACCAATCTTACTACCTTGTAAGAAGATTTCTTTTTTACAATTATATAATGGTTTATAACTTATTCCATTTTTATACCGTCTTCATTGCATTTCAATTTGGGATTTAACGGCTGGTACGTGTTTTACTGTAGGAGAATTCTCGGAACTGGTTTAAGTGGTCCAATACCGGCGTCGTTTTCCAACTTAACTTCTTTGACAGAGCTGTATGTGTTGCATTGTTGTCATAATCATTATCGTTTTCTGTTGCTCTTTCTTGCCTTTTCTCCACATATTCATATTCTAAATGTAGGAGGCTTGGTGATATATCCAATGGAAGTTCTTCTCTTGAATTCATCAAAGACATGAAATCTCTAAGTATATTGTAAGGCAGCTTTAACTCAACTTCTACTCCAATTCATGATCAGTTTTAATTCAAGTTGAAGGCAGCTACAACTTCTACGAATTGATCTGGTTCTCTCCTTCCTGTATTTAACATTTATAATATATGTGGCAGAGTATTGAGGAACAACAATCTCACTGGGACAATACCGTCTAATATTGGAGAATACTCAAGTTTGCGACAAGTGTACGTACATATGTCAATGTGTTTCTTCAAATGCTCTGAAAGCTTTTTCAGAGTCTATTTTTTTGTAAAAAGAGTGAGAAGATTTATGGAAGCCACTAAGAGAATACAAAAATGCTCTTAAATTGCTGATAATAGAATTTTTCTTATTATTCCTCATTTATTGCTTAACAGGAACAGTCTAATGTTTTACCATGTAATTCGTGTCTGTTATCCAGTGATTTGAGCTTCAACAAACTACATGGACCAATTCCGGCTTCACTTTTCAACTTAAGTCAACTTACTCACTTGTAAGATGATATGTTTCATATCTGCTTCTTTTGGTTTCTTTATGTACAACTACCCGGACAACTGTGAAACAAGTTTGTTGTTTCATATTAGGTTTCTGGGAAACAACACGTTGAATGGTTCCCTTCCCACTCAAAAGAGGCAGTCTTTAAGCAATATGTGAGTTACGAAAATCTTTACTATTGTTTCATCTTTGAAATCCACAATGTTTCGCCTGACATAGACTCAAGTTTCGTACACTTATTACTCTGCACTTATTCATGTTGAATAAGGTTCCACTCTTGGTGACACCAGATGACTTGCCAATATAATTAGGAAACTATTTTGGAATATATAGCATATTCTGGCCATCCTAATTATTGTTTTTCTATGCTTACAGAGATGTGTCGTACAATGATTTGTCTGGAAGTCTTCCTTCATGGGTCAGCTTACCAAACTTGAATCTGTAAGTAAACAAAACACTATATCCCAACTTATATTCACAGTTTTTTACAGTTTCAGAAATTTCCCCACATGTATATTCATTAGGCTGCTTCATATCCAGCATGAAGCTTCCATTTTGTATGAAAAATTATAATCATATGTTAGAGAGAATATTAAACAAAACTGTATGTTATTTGTGCAGCAACCTAGTTGCTAACAACTTCACATTGGAAGGTCTTGACAACAGGTGATTTTTTACAATATGTTCTTGTTGGTGCTTGGAATTCCAATATATTTCTCTTTTCTTTTTTTTGTTGCCTGCAAGTATAATTTCTTTTTGTAAAAAGGGTTTTATCAGGACTGAACTGCCTGCAGAAGAACTTCCCCTGCAATCAAGGCAAAGGAATATGTAAGTGTAACAGAGATATCTGCTTCATGAGCAAACACATGTATTGTTGGAAACTATTTCGCTAAATATTTTCTCAACTAACTGGTGTCTAGATTCTGACTTCTCAATCAACTGCGGAGGCCCAGAGATAAGATCTGTAACTGGAGCACTATTTGAGAGGGAGGACGAGGATCTTGGACCAGCTTCATTTGTCGTGAGTGCTGGTCAGAGATGGGGAGCCAGTAGTGTAGGACTTTTTGCCGGAAGTAGCAATAATATATACATAGCTACTTCACAATCACAATTTGTCAACACTTTGGACTCAGAGCTATTTCAGTCAGCAAGACTTTCTGCATCTTCCCTTAGGTATTATGGGTTGGGGCTAGAAAATGGAGGTTATACCGTAACACTTCAGTTTGCTGAAATACAAATTCTAGGTTCTACTTCTAACACTTGGAGAGGTTTAGGAAGACGACGTTTTGACATTTATGTCCAGGTCTGCACTACTTGACCGAGCTTTCCGCTTTACAAATTAACTTTTTGGTGTAATTATCTTCTTCCGACTTTTGGTTCTGATGAAATCTAAGACTAGCTCAATTTTTCCAGGGAAGACTTGTTGAAAAGGACTTCGATGTACGCAGAACAGCTGGTGACTCCACTGTTCGAGCAGTTCAGAGAGAATATAAAGCAAATGTATCACAAAATCATCTTGAAATTCATCTTTTCTGGGCTGGAAAAGGAACATGCTGTATTCCTATCCAAGGGGCTTATGGGCCATTAATATCGGCCGTCGGTGCAACACCAGGTAATATAAATGGCAAATTCTTGTTTTACACCATCTTCTGATGCTAGTTAGTGCCTGATTGTTACATATTTCTGTTCAGATTTCACACCAACTGTGGGTAATAGGCCACCATCAAAGGGAAAGAGCATGACTGGTACTATTGTGGGTGTCATTGTTGGCGTAGGACTTTTGAGCATCTTTGCGGGTGTGGTTATCTTCATCATCCGAAAAAGAAGAAAGCGGTACACAGATGATGAAGGTATATTAAAAAGCTCTTGAGCTGAAGAATTTTGGCCCTCTGATTAGAAATTAAAGTTGAATATCTTCTCTCATATTTGTTGATTTTAAGAACCGAATTGTTTTTGGCAGAGATACTTAGTATGGACGTAAAGCCTTACACCTTCACTTACTCGGAACTTAAAAGTGCAACTCAAGATTTCGATCCCTCAAACAAGCTTGGAGAGGGAGGATTTGGCCCTGTTTATAAGGTAAGTCCCATACTGAAATGTGTGTATATTCGAGATACTAGGGAAGAAGAGTATATGTGTAATATCGTTTGTTTTGATAATATATTTTCTTGAATAACACATTCAACAGGGAAAACTTAATGATGGAAGAGAGATAGCAGTGAAGCTATTGTCAGTGGGATCCCGGCAAGGGAAGGGACAATTTGTTGCAGAAATTGTAGCAATTTCTGCAGTTCAACATCGGAACTTAGTAAAAC